CATGTTTGAAATCCAATTTAAGGAATATTTTCCAGTATTCTGTTGCTGTATGAAAGAAATCAGCACCCTGGGAGGAACAAATCCATGCAAAGGGCAAACTGAAACTGACTAGATATGTGGTATCTCTAAAGGTCCAAACAAAATAGGAGTGGGAGTGAAGGAAAATTATTTTCAGGGCATTTTTCACTCACAGACAATATTGTGAAGTGCTTGGAATACCAGAAAGTTCATTTTGAAACAGAGGAGTGATGTTTACAACAGTCATTGTGTAAATATGTGTTGGTTTCATGTACATTTTCCTAATACTTAAAATTAACATCAGTTTATATACTGCTGAGAAAAGGTGCTGGATTCTTTTACTGCACAAACAGGTACTACACAGCAGCTTGGCAAGCATGTCCTGAACCACAGCCTGCTCCATCCTTCGTTTGGTGAAAGGAGCGTTCAAAGAGCTGCATGACTGGGGTACCATAAAAGGGAGACTTCTAAGCTCAGCTCTGGGACTGCCCTGACTAAAGCAGACTAACCCAGTGAGCAGAGTGCATCACACAGATTAAAAGTAAGGTTAATTTACTGGAAAATTGTTTGTATCACACTATGCAGCAGCCGCTCCTGATCAGTGTAACAGCAGAGCAGGCCCTTGCATTGAGAGCTGCATCTTCCTCTGGAGCTGGGTTTTGCATCCAAGCCAGGTAAAAGGATGCCAGGTGTAGGTCAAGTATAAAGATACTACTGTGCCAGAGGGAAAATGCTACATACTATTAGTGTTGTATCCATACAAGGGGCTATACTGCTTACATTCTCCTGTGTTAAACACACTGACCAAGCAAACAAACAACCCCCCCAACAATACACCCTTATTACTACTAAATCATGAATACAGATCAAATGTTCCCATTCCTGTTTCATTTTGCTCTACTGATTGAGAGACCTAGTAAGAATGTCAGTTCTGGTGGTGGCTTTGTGATCTGGATCCTGCTTGGTAGGATCTCTGCAGAGACCAACAACTCATTTTGCACAACCCACGATGCAGGCATCAGATGACTGTGGCTTTCAGTTACTACCTCTGGACCGAAGCCAGAAGCCTAGTGGTGAAAAGCTCTTTATACCATTACCAATCCCTCGAGCCACCCAGTCCTTCTGCATTGCATACAGGTTTTTAGTGTTGTGCCTTAAGATCTGTTCTGGTTCTGAGTAACGTTCTTTGTGATGGGAGTCTTGCCACTCCCCCTCTCAGGAGGGGAAAAAAAAAAAACCAAGAAGGGAGTGTGAAACCTATTTTCAAACTCTGTTTTGATTATCTGATGCAGCTCCTGCTCCTGGGTTCTCTAAGGGAGAGATGTGAGTCCTGGGGAATGTCTGTCTCAGTGCAGAGCTGAGACCTGTGTGCACTCGGTCAGTGCTGCTGGCTTTAGCTCAGTGATGGCTCTTGCATCGGCGCATCCGATGCTGGGTTCCCTTACAGGGACAACTGACAGGCTTTCCTGGATAGCTGCAGCCTGGCTGGGCTGAATCACACACAGGTCGGTCTGATCCTGACCCATGCATAATGGCAGCATAAATACATCCCAGACAAGGCAGAAGGCAAAGCCAGTGAGCCCCCAGAATATCTGCTTGCAGCTGCTTTCCATCTGAAGTAACCACCGAGAGCTGCAGGCGAATGGTGCCACCTCTGCAGCTCCCATCCTGCCTCTCAGCACTGCAACTCGCTGTAAAATGGCACCCGTGCAGATTTCTCTTCCAGTTTCTTTGCTCTCCCACTCTTCAGAAAGCACATCACATACACAGCAGCTCTTCCCTGCAGAGTCTGAACAGTAACACACTGGTACTCAGCCTTCCCAAAAGACAGCTGCAAGTGGCTGATACTTCAAAACACGTCTACAGATTTACAGTCTTTAATGTTGATTGCTGAATGTTTCTGTTTCTTTCTGAACCATTCCAACGGTTGTTTCAAGTGAATGTATTCATCCCCTTCCTTTTAACCATTGGAGTTTCTTGCTTGGCCTGGGAGCGTGGAAGAGGGAATGAAAGGGTCTCTTCAAATCCGCCGTAGCTGCTCCCTCAAAAGAGAGCATTGACATGGATTTTGCAGCTCTTGTGTGCAGCATGACTCCCGGAGGAGTTACACACACAGAAAGACTGCAGGATCCTTGTGGGCACTCCAGGAAGAGTGTGGCTATTCTCCTCCCCACGCGATGAGAGTATCGTATCTATTCCTAGCATGGCTCTACCAGGTGGCAGCGCTCCCCTGCCAACATACCTCTGGTTTGGCGTACCTTGAAAGCAGTGATGCTACATTATGTGATGACGTCATTATATTTATTTCAACTTCCAATGAAGATTTCCTGACAAATCTCTGACCTGGAATATCTTCTTTTTAATGGATCCAAGATCCAACCAACGCGGTGCAGATTACATTTATATAACAAGTAAGGTGGACTGCAAAGAATTTTTTAACAGCTGTTGACATTACTAAACTAAGATTATTTCTCTATTAAAATTATGGACAAGGAAAAACTTGCCCAGTATTTATACAAACAGCACTGCTCTAATTTCTAGCTGTGGTTATTTTTGTGATGCACCATGCACTCGTGCAATCTCAAGAATGTATCTTTGTGGTGGTATTTTGTAAAGGATAAAAGAACTCAAATGCATTTTTTTCACACAAGTAGAAGTGTGAGGGCCGCATGCTTTGGTGGTACGTGTAACACATCTTCCTCACTGGTTCTTTTTCTTCACACTTTCGATTTTGAACTTATTACAAACTCTTGGACAACTTAATTCTGGTCTTTATTTTCTTCATCAACAGTATCACTCGGCTCTTCTGAATTAGAGTACAGCACCGTACTCTTCTTTAAACATCACGTACTTCTGATAAACAGAATACTGCATAAGATACTGTTCTGCACTGGCAGAGATCATGCTCTGGATGTTGCATCCAAGGCCATCGAGGGATCACCTTGAACGCTGGGCCTTACTCCCCATGTTCTGAATAGACAGGTGTTGAGAGAGGGCAGACGGTGCTGGGTGGAAGCTAACAGTGCCAACAGGGAAGGCAAAGAGCTGCACTTCTCACAAAGGGCTGTGTGCATCGGTGAAAAGACTCACCTGAGGTTGCATTCTGTGCTAGAGGTGAATACGAATTTAAATTTCCAACGTTACACTTTAAGGCACTAAAATTGCAAAAGAAGAAACTGAAGAGTAACTACAAGCTCAACTTCAACCTTTCCCTTCTTATTTCTTCCCCACAGTGGTCTCTGTGAGGTCTTATGATGCCACTACAAAGATGAGCAAACAAAAATTGGCCGTGTTAGGAATTGATTTCAATTTGAAAGAGCCATAATTCAATTCTGTTCTAAAAACATATTACAAAATCTAATATTAAAAAGATTTGCATAGAAACATTCACCAGAAAGCTATTTTATTTGTTTGGCTTGAAACACTTCCACTACAAGCCAAACATTTCAACACTGGGGCAGGAGGACCAGAAAGTGAACCTGACCAGAAACAACAGTGGAAACAACTAGTTTATTTTTACTCCACCAGCTGACAAAATTTAGTTAGTTCTTAAAAAAAAATAATAAAAATCACGTGCCTTGTGGAGGGTGAAAGTTGATTTTTTTAACCCAAACTGTGACCGTATTTCTCAGCACTGGGGCACTGTTAGCTGAGGAGGGACGCACGGAGCCGTGCTGTACTGACTGCAGTGCCCATCAGCTGGAGGCAGGAGCCAGCTGTGGTGCTGAGCAGACACACGCACAGCAACGCACACAGCAGCACTCAGATCTGCAGACAGGCAGAGGCGGTTTGCAGACAACATCTCTGTTTGCCCCACTGCGGGATCACCGAGGGATGAATCGGGGGCGAGTCCCTCACTGCCGGTGGGAATATTACCGTAGTAACGTCTGCTAATGGGGCAAAGGACCTTGTATTGTAATCCAGTGACATTTTCAACCTTCGGAGAACTTTTGTTGACATTCCCGCGTCGCTGGCTGCCATCCCAGCATGAAATAGTTTCTGTTCACATAATTCTCGTGTTTACCAGTCATGAAAAACTCTTGCTTTTGGCTTTTTTTTTTTAAATAAACTTTTTTTTTTTTTTGCAAGTGAAACTCTGTCTAAAAAAATATTGGCCCCAGGCATAGAAGGTTTTGCATAAATTCATATGTGATGAATGGCTGATTTTAATGTTATTTGGGTATTTGTCAGAACCTAACAAATATACATGGTAATGGTGGTTCATAAACTTAAACATCTCAATATCCCCTTTCTTCTAGAAATAAATTACGTTTGTTTGCCCTGCCTGGAGTCCTAAGGTAGCCGACATTAGGAATATTTTAAATGTGATCATCCATCCAGCATGTCTTTCAGGCGCCACGAAGATTAAATGAAAGAATCATAAGATGAAGGTCTTTAACTTTTAATCCTTTTACAATGAACCCTTAGATAGACATGGGGGCAGGGTGCCTTCTATGTGAGTAATAATGCCTCTGTTCCTCTTCACTAGGTTAATGAATACCCTAAATGTCCCAAGATCTGATTTTTTTTCCTAAAGTACTGAAATTAAAAGCAAAGAGACGGACGGTAAAACGCACCGAGAGAGCGAGAGGGAGAATGAATATGCAGTGGGAGATAGGCGAACTGAGCGCCGAGGAAAGCAGGGCTGGGCTCTGCCAGCGAGAGACACGCGGCTGCAGAATGATTAGCATAGATTCCCTGAGTTAAAAAAAAAAAAAAAAAAAAAAAAAAAGTTTTTTGATTCCAAGATAAATAAGGAAAAGGCTTTCTGCACTGTCAGGGCGCCTCTGAGGAACACGTGGAGCGTTTGTTTTTGCAGTCGGTACCTATGAGATACAACCGCCGGCCGTCCCAGCACGGCGCGGCCCAGCGCTCCGCTGCCGGCGGCGGGTCCTGACGGAGCCGCGGGGTATTTCCGCGTCCGCGGAGCCGGAGAGCGGCGCGGGGCGGCCGGAGCCGGGCTGGGGGGGCGGCGGGACGCGGACAGCGCCGTGCCGTGCTACACCCGTACCGCACCGCACCGCGGGGCCCGCCGAAACGAGCGGGTCCGTGCCCAACCCAGGCGCTGCCGGCGACGGATCACCCGGGGACCGGCGGGTGCCCAGAGTTAATGGGCTGTGAGGGCGATTGTCGCCGGTCGGGGAGGGCGTGCGACGCTGTCACAGGATCGGGCTAATAACGCGTCTGCGCTGCAAACCCCTGAAGCCCAAGGGTCAAGTTTCAGCAGCGTCCCACCACAATGGTAGGTGTGAAAGACACGTGTCCCGTTGTAAATGAAATGTCAAGCGGCTACAAAAGCCCAGAGCAGCGCCCCGGAGCCCCGCGGTTTCCCCGCGTGCGGCGCTGGAGCTGCGCGGGCTGCGGAACCCGCGGAGCGGAGCGGAGCAGCGCGGGGCGGCCGCACCGAACAGCAAACAGCATCCGCACGGCGCACGTTTTAGTGGTTGACTTTAATTCTGCTCTGCGCTTTTACTACAGGGATATAAAGAATAAATAGCAGATACTCTTCATTTACATAGAATTAAGTCATTCAAACCGTTCTATTTACAATAACATTGTGCTCGAGGCGTTTTCTTTTTAACCTAAAGTCCGTAAGAAGAAAAAACAAACAAACACACCAGCACGCTTTCCAAATAATGGAAAATAGCTTTAAAAGGTTTTCTTATCAAAAAGTTTGGTTTGTATTTTTTAATCCTTTTATTAAAAAACAACAACAACAACAACAAACCGACTTCGCCAAAGCGAAGCAACTCCTCTCTGGAATATAAATAAAAAAAAAAAAAAAAAAAAAAAAAAAGATACATTAGCAACGATCAGGGTAATAGTCTTAAAAATACAGTAGACGCTGATTATTTCACGTATAATACTGACCTTTTAATAGTATATTAAAACGGTGCCATATATACACACAATATACATTCTCCTACACATTACAGTGCATTACAACGTTAACCAGAAAGCAGTGTCTCTTGTTTGTGTTGCAGCAAAGGTCCCCGGCAGCCCGGCGGGCACGCAGCCCTAGCAGGAGCACTTGCACTCCGCGATGATGGGGTACTGGATGGGGATCCACGTGCACCGCTGCCCGCCCCGCCGCTGGCACCGCCACCTCAGGATCGTTAAATGCACGGACTTGGCAGGTTTGCAGACCATGCCTTCTGGGACCGAGCAAGACCTTTTACTGTAGCAGCTGCCCACTTTGACGTACCGGGGCCAAAAGCGGCTGCCGAGATCGTTCCACGTGTATAGGACCGGGCAGAAGGTCTGGGACCAGAGCCACATCTGCAGCTTCCTGCGCAGCTTCTTGCTCAGCCTGTGCTTCTTGCCCGGCTGCAGCCCGTCGTAGAACTCCAGCCCCTTGATTTCGCCGGGCATCGCTCCCGAGGGTCTCTGCCGCAGCAGCAAGTCCAGCTCGGCCAGATCGTCTACCCCGAGCCGATCCTCGGGCAGGGAAATAGCCATAAAGTTAGGGTCGAAGTGTCCTCCCATGAGGCTCCTTAGCAAGGTCTCGTTAAGATCCTTCTCCTTGGGGTCAAAGATAGGGTCCGGGTGCTCGATTAGATCCACCAGAGGCAGGTTGTCGCTGGGAGCCGGGCGAATGTGCAGGTAGTGCTGGCAGGAGCCCTGCTGCAGCCGGAGCCCCAGCAGCACCGCCGCGGCGTATATAGTCACAAGGCACTGGGAATGATCCATCCTTGGGAGACCGCCGGGGGGGGGGGAGGGGGGCTGGGTTCACCAAGCAGCGGGGGAAGAAGGTGCGAGCAAATGCATCAGAAAACTCGGACGCGGATATCCCGGACCGCCTGTCCGTGCGGGGCTCCGCTCCGCTCCCGCACCGGCGCACGCAGCCCCCGGCCGCGGGCAGAGCCGGCCCCGCTCCTCGCGAGCCGCTCGAGAAAAGCTCTCCCGGTGGAGCCGCTCCAAAATTCTGCCGCAGCCGCCGCTTCTTTTCGCGCTCCCCGCGACGAGGAGACAGACGCCTCTTTTTGTTGCGAGTCGCGCTCCCCGATGCCGCTCCTCGCCGTCCGCCCGTGCGTGTGCGAGAAGTCGCCGCCGGCTCTTCCTCCCCGCTCCTCTCCGCCGTTTGCAAAGCCGCCTCCTCAGCAGCAACGGCAGCCGTGCACGTTGGCACCAGTTTGTCTGCTTCGCGAGGACCCAAAGCCTTTAAATTTCCTGCACTTTCAGCTTCATCTCCATGGAAACCACAGACTCTCTTCTAACCCACCCCACCCCCCTTAAAAAAAACCACACGCACAACGCAACCCCCACTCCCACAAAAGTCCGGGAGAGCGCGGCTTCCCCCTTGCCACCCCGCACACACCCTCTGCTGGGGAAGGCTGCAGCCCGCCGCCTCCCCCCGCCTCCCGCCGCTCCCCGGGAGATGCTCGGCGCGGGGCAGCGCTCCGTTCCGCTCCTCCCGCCGGCAGCGGCGGCTCGGCACGGCGCTCACCCCATGGGCGCGGCGGAGGGGCGGCGGGGCGGCGGGGCGGCGGAGCGCGGCCCGGGAGCGGAGCGCGGCCCCACGCTATCCGCGCCGCTCCCCGGCGCCGCGCGGCGCTACCTGGCCGCGGGCGGAAGGTTTGCCCGGCTCCGCACATGGGCCCGTGATGTAATTCCCACTACGCGCCCGGCTGGCCGCCCGCCCGCCCGCGGGGACGCGGCAGAGCAGACGCCCCGGCCCCGGCCGGGCATAGCGGGCCCTCTGCTGGCGGCGCCGGGCCGAGCCGAGCCGAGCCGAGCCGAGCCGAGCCGAGCCGAGCCGAGCCGGGGCCGCCCCGCGGACATCCCGGCGGAGCGCGGCGGCGGCCCTCCTGCAGCGCTGCCCGGAGCGCACCCTGCGGCCCCACGGCCGCGCTCGGGGCTGCTCCGTCGGAAACACTGTCGCGTTGCCAAAACGCTGCCTCGACGTTACGCACGTGGAGCGGTTTTACAGACTGACACCAAACGTCGTTTCTACTGCAGAAGTGCTGTGTCACAAAAAGCATCGCGAGGCACGGTCGGCATGCAGGCAGGGTCAGTGAGCGCTCCGTGAGGACGGGAGTAAAACGTCCTACAGTGCTGGAATCCTACGGGCTGTGTAGACACTTAGGAGCCTGAGTTTAACGGACTGAAGCTCAGCCACTTTTAAATTATTCATGCATTTGTTAAAACGCTGCTCTTCACATTTAGGATCTTAATGAATGTAATACGTTGATTGTATTACCCACGTTCATCTGCTTTTCTAAAAATTAACTGTATTTTATCATCTATTTTCACTCCCTAGGCTGAACTCAACACAATGACATGAAGAAGGTGGAAAACTGACCCAAGCCATGTGCCAGAAAAGGAGGCTGACAGTGAACTAGGTGCTGTGCTCTCCGCCCTCACTGCCTTCCCACCTGAAGCCGGCCTCGTTTCGCTGTGGAGCTCTTTTGGGAGGGATTGCATTCAGGCTGTGAGTTCTACAGTTAGAAATGTGCGGTATTAAGTGGATGAGGAAGAGCGAAACCGCTCCTCCTTGGATCCCAACCTCCCTTCTCCTTCTTTTCAGGGAGTCTTCGTTGCCATACTTCTTTGTAAAGGATTTTTATGAAAGCAGTCAAATATTAGGTTAGATCAGATTTTTCCCCAATGAAACTGCTGGGAAAGTGGCCACTGGTGTGGGCCAGTTCCTCCTCATTGTGTACCGCAATGCTGCCAAGGAGCAGACAGGGAAAGCAACCTGTAAGTCACTGCAAATATTTCTGAATTTGCTTTCAAGCCACCTTGTTTAAACACAAAGACACAAAAACAACAACAGGTTAAAATAACTCCTTTGAAGAGAAAGCAAAAATTCTGAAGTTACTTCCTGACATCCTGTATTTCTGCTTTCATAACAAATTCAGTTTTACTCTGTTGGTACTTGAAAACAGTTTTTTTAACGACCAGTCTCAGAGTCTAAAAATAAAGCCTACGAAGCCTGTGTCCTGCCTGTTCATGCCAGCTGTGTGCTTCAGGTTCTACACTCAAAACCACGGGGAGCCCTGACCCTCCCGTGCCGCACTGCAGCTGTGGGGCTGCAGGAAGAGCGGGTTGCTCCGTGCTGTGCCTGCGCCAGGCCAGGTGTCTGCAAGGAGCACCGCGCTGCTGGCGAGGCCGCACGAGCTCGAGGAAAGCAGAAGTGACAGAAGTCACTCACGGCCCAAGAATTTCTCGGTGGAATGGCTGATAGCAGGATGGGGAGAGCTGCCAGTAACAGCTCTGCCAGAAGCCTCTGGGTCAGAGGGAAAAGAGATTTGGATCCCCATCAAATTGGTTTAGTTCAGGGTTTGCTGAAAACAGCAATAAATGAAACCCAGAGGTAAAGGGCCTGATCCAGAGCTGGTGCATGATGCCAGCCCTGCCTGGGATAGGGACAGAGGCCAGCAGCTCAGGCAGGACCAAGCTGGTCACTCTACTGGCAATGGTGCCTGGTGCAGAGGAGGAAACAACTCCCTTTGCCTCAAATTTATTGGTTCTGGAGTGCTGACAGTAGTAAAAATGTGTTTTTTCAGTAGACAAAGCAAATACAACTTTCAAGGCACACAGGAAGCCAATGTGGGCTTGCTGGAGATGCTGCTCCTGCAGGGTCACAGCGCTGATGAGGAGAGAAGAAGCATGCAGCTGCCCTGCTGGGACTCTGGAGGCACAGCTCTGAAAACACATTATGTTAAGGATCTGATCGCAGCCCAAAAGGATTCACAGAGAGAATTCCAGAGCGATTTGCTTCCTGTTAAATCTGCCCAGAGAAACTGACCGTGTTTGCTGAGCCACCCCAGGGCTCAGGGCCTTCGTGCTGAATGCAGTGCAGGGGCTGAGCCACCTCTACAGCAGAGTGAATCTCACAGAAAGGAATAAAGCACCCAAAGCTGGGAGAGGAGAAACCATGCCAGGTGTGCTCAGTGAAGCTGTGTCCTCCTTAGCAGAGGAGACTTCCTCACAACTGTTCTTGTTTCCCTTACAGATTATTTTAATGTAGGTCAGGAACTCATTGCCTCTTGCTTCTTATTTTCAAGAATGTGCCTGCAGATTAGACAATGACTGTTTGTTAAATGAAGCAAAACCGACAGCACAACCAGAGAAGTCCTGTGCCCATCAGGCTTCATGCAATACGTTTCAGAGCTTTGTGCTTTCCTATCTAAACAGCAGGAATGCTGGTCCTTGCTCTTTCACACCGATACTGCAAAGCACAATTAGAGTAAACCTGTATCAATACAGAGGAAAAAGTCCAAAGTCTTGCTAAAATTACAGAGGAAATTTCTGACTGAAAGAGCAGAAAAGTGAACCGAAGTCACTTCAGGTGCAGTCTTATCTCCTAGTTAGCTCCTGGACCAACTCCCTGTTCCTTGATCACAATCCTATACATTCTGTAAGAAACTCTAGAATTCATTTTCAACTTGTTTTCTTTTAAACTGTGAATCCCTAAAGGATTTCTAAAGCAGATGCACATTTTACATAGTTCTCATATGCCCCATGGCAAACTTCCCAGTTGACCTTCTAGCTCTCATAGGCCACGTGTGAGCTCACCCGGGACTCCAGGCACTGCAGGTGGACTTAAATGTTCCACAGCTTGCAAACAACGTCCTTTAGGCTGGCATGGTTTGGGAAGCTCCAGCCAGATCTCAGAAACAGTGCTGCATCTCATGGTACCTCATCCATTTCCCTTTCCAAATTCAAACACAGAATGAAGAGTGTTTTAATGGACTACACAATGTTAGTAGGTGATCAGCTACTCTGAAAGAAAACAGTTATGAATCACATACTTTGGAAGGTAAACAATTTTTTGAGAGAGCAAAGTTCTGCCTTGAAATCCCAAGAGAATGGAAACGGATGGATGCATTTGGCCAAGAAGCTGCATCTGCAGTGACAAATGATATATAAATAATGTATTTTGAAACTAAGCTCTGGGATGAATGTTTTATGGTGGAGTAAATCCTAGGATGACCGATGTGTTAAAGCAATAAAAAGAAGAAAAAAGAAAAAAGACACCCCCTCCCCAATAAAAATGTAAGGTTTTAGTCCACAATAAGTACAGCTATATGGAAAGAGCAGACTTGACACTTGCCAAACATATCCTTAAAAAAAGAGAGCAAAGACTGCCAAAGAAGAGAAGAAAGTCTTGCAAGGTCCTTAAAGAACTGCTCTATTTCTCTCCCTTCACGTCGTTCTTGCTCTTCAAATACTGCACCTCCCTGATTCTCAGCCCGCTCTCCTCTCGCTCCTGCATTTTTCCTATGCTATAGACTCTTGTCTTTAGAACAGGGCTTGTGCATTCATCTGCTGATAAACTGTTTATCTTAGCTTTTATGAGGGCGCCTTGCTGCAAGCCAGCCAGAGACAGGATCCTGGGTGTTTGTCTTTTTTTTAAAAGAGGGTCCGGGAAGTGGCGGGTATTTATACCTCCCCTTGGCTCTATATATCATGGGAGGTGGAACTCCACTGTCTCTGTCTCTTGCTTTTTCTCTCAGCAGTGTTTTGTGCCATAAATCTGAATCTCTCAGAACAGTTTTCTTGGCTGCAACCCCGCTTGCAGGAATTAAACATTTTATTTACTTATTTATTCATTGCTGCAAAAGGTCTGCGACAGAGGAAAGCCAGAGCTTTTCTAATACCCTCCCCACCTCCCCCCCGCCCCACCTAACCATCCTGCTTTCTGTGCCAAATATTAACATCTCTGCAGTCAAGAAAAGAGAGCAGAGCAGGCAGAGTGCCTCGCAGTTTGCAGACCAATTCATTACAGAGAGGCCAGTGGGAGAACTGGCAAAGATGAAACAGAAACCGGGACATTTTTTATGTTAAAAAATGACACTTATATTTATAAGCAATGGCTCCTGAAGGGGATTTCATTTTCCACACAGGCAACACTGTTTATCCAAACAAACTCCCTGTAGCAGCATATATTACATATATACACACATGACAAGCAGGAATGTATTTATCCTCTTTTTTTTTTTTTTTTTTTTTTTTTGCCAGCTTATTAAGATAAACATCTACTGAGATAAACCAATTTTTTCCTATTCACTTCTTTATAGAACACCATAGACAACTGAGTGACAGAGATTCAAGAAAACAAGAAATACAGCAACCCCCCAGTGGAGACCTGCATGTGTGAGTGATTCATTGATGCCAGCTACCGAACAACCCCGACACATAACATTTCCCACCTCTGATATTTAGAAAGACCCTCTCACCCTTTTAGCACCAATGGAGCCCTTGGAATGTTTTATTGCTAATTGTCTAATGCTCCGTGATGAATGGCTGCTTGACTGAAAATGACAACCCCTTTTCTCTCAACTACTTCATTTTCCTGGCTCCAGTGGGGGTGAAGAGGAAAAAATAAATCCGATTACATCATATTTAGCCTCTTGGTTATGAATGAAGGAAGATTAAACTTAATTTAAAAGTACTTCTGTCAACGATGTCCTTAGCCCACAGTCCCTTGCACTCAGTAAATGCTGCCTCAGATACTGGGGCAAAATGTTCCAAAGTCTGCTCAGGGGAGCGGATCACTGAGCTATCAGGGGAAGCAGCCCCCAGCCAAATCTAGATGGCTGCATTTGTGATCACAAGAAATATTTTGGCTACAGAGTAATCAAAGAGCATGCTTTAACCTAACACAAAACAACTTCTGACTACAGCCCTGCCTCCAGAGTAAAGGCAAGAGGGGAAGGTCCAACTGGGAATTTCTGCGCTATTAGCTATTCTTTAAATCTTCTCTGGTTGGAAGATCTGCAAGGATGAAGGAGATTTAATAACTTGAAAAAGAATAAACTGTGTGTTTTTCCTCAGCATCTGTATTTATCACTCCTTTCCTGCATCTTACGCTTTTTCCCTTTAGGGAATCTGATCTCTTCAAAAAGATCAGCATGATCAGCCAGAGTCGTGTGCATAACATTATCTTCACAGCCACCACAAAATGACATGAAATCCAAATGCACAGTGACAGGGTTGGCTGTGAAAAGCTCAATATTGAACTGAGTCATTTTCAAAGAAACTTGTACCTTCAGTGGCAAACAGAAAGCTTTCCATTTTCTCTCCCAAATGACGAGACAGACATACACATGGGGTTATCTGATTAATTCAGAATCAGAAACAGACACAAAAGAGACATATTCCAAACCTGCCAATGTTCAGCATGAACCTCTGGGACATGTTCATTTGGCTTGGGAGTTTCAAGTCTTTGCTTGTGAGGGCAAAGGGACCCAGGCGAGTCAAGTAATGAATCTAGGCTTCCCAGACACAGATTTGACATTTGCTCTCTCCCTCTGACTCAGGCTTTGACTGGGTTCAGGGATTAATTAGGCCATGCAAACGAGTTAGGTTCTCTCTTCTGGCAACCTGGTCACGTAGGGAACCCCCACCCCTCCCCTTCCCCATGCTCTCCTTCCCCATAATGAAGCATGACTGTAGTAAAACAAGTCTTTTGATGGTGCCTCTTCTCATCACTTTCAAGACAAACAATGTCTCAGAAGCCCCCCAGCTGCTTTTATTTTTCTTATATCTACAGTTACATCTTGGGTGTGTTTACTCATCCTCATTAAATATGTGTCCCCCACCATCCTTTTTAATATCCTTCCTTTATTGCAGTTTACACAACACATCAATTACAGGATAGAGTTAAAACTTTTAGAGCCATTTTTGGGCATAGTGCAACATCCCACAGCACCACCATCTCTAAAGGAGAACTGACACAGGCTGCAGTAGGAACATGAGACAAACACCTCTGCAGCAAAGAAAGAGGGGTCACAAATCACTTGTGCTCAGCTCAGAGCAAAGCATCTCTTACATACAGTCAACTTCCTTCAGAAACCATCAGTTAGGAGTTTTGCTTTCTTTTCATTCAAAAACATTCACAAGTGACTAATACTTTCCTCCTTCTAGCACAGACACTTGTAAAGTCTAAGGTGGGACCGTATGAAGAAAGCACCCATCCCAGGACTAACAATCAGCCAGATTTTCACACCTATACCATGGTCTTAAGATCATTTTCTTTCAAGCAAGACTGAAATAATGGCACTGAATGGAAGACCTTGCTGTTCAGCATGCCTTCTCAAGTCACATCAACTTTTAAAGTACTTGTTTTCATAATAAACACATCAGTAAGATGCCAGACACAAAGGAGTATCCTTTAACCATTATTTGGATTCGTTCTCTGCACACATCTGCATGAGTGTGTGCACATGTGCAATTGCTTCCCATGCAGGAACAGCGTTCCTGTTGTTCCCATTCTTGATAGAATAAAGAGTTTTTGGAATACTATTGTGTTTTAATTCAGAATAAGATCAAAACCAAACAAAAACCATAATTGCCATGACCACAGTAGGAGATTCACAAGAGTTCCCCATACTCTGAACATGAAGGTCAGCTTCAGCACAACTTTTTAAGTACACTGAGCACTTAACCTCAAATATTAGGTATCAGTTTGCACAAGTGACTCAAAGAGACCTACCTTTGTGACACAACAAGCCACACTGCTGCTTTAGTAGAGTCTCATGGCAGAGCTGGCTTTCTACCCCACTCTCACTTAAGATTTCCTCACTTTTCTCATCAGAACAGAAGGCAAGAATAACTCTGCTCTGCAGACTGTCACCTCAGTCTCTCACTCCAGGGGCACAATTCAGCTCCTGATACTGGTGTTTGCCTGTCATCCTCCCATGTTAGATCTCTTAAATAAGCAAATAAATACACAGCCTTTCTGCAGCCCTTGTGTGCCGAGGCTTTGGTCCTGCCCAGCAGCTCAGGGCTGCAGGAGCAGGGTGGGGGTGAGGTGGGGGCGATCGCCCTCCGACACCGGGACCGTTTGTAAATTACCCTAAGCTTCCCTTAGTCATTATTCCATTAACTGCCTCTTGGTAGATCTGTCAGTAACTAAGCTGGGTCTTATTTGTAGAGAATCAGAGGCTATTTGCTGTACTAAGTGAGCCATGAGAGCGAAAGGGTTTGGGATTTATTTGTAATTACAGTCGAGATTTTTTTTCTTCTCCTTCTTGCCTGGACCCCACTGGTACTTTCATTCACATTCCCTAAGCTGAAGCTGGCGCCAGGATCACAGGCTGGCCCTGTGTTTATGTCATTGAGACTAGGACAATATTTCAGTGTGGAGCCAGACCGCAGGGATCCACTCTATAAAACCCTCACTAAAAATAGACAGCCGCCCTGCCCCCAGGCCCGCGGGCCGCCGGCACCCTGCGAGGCACACAGCCCCCGGCCAGCCCCCAGCTCCCCAGGGCTCCCTGTCCCTCCAGCTCTCTGCACGGGGATGCAGCACCTTGGGGTGCCCGGCTGCCCCAGGCCCGGCTGCCAGCACAGAGCCAGTGAGCATCCCAGAGCCAGAAGGGTAGTGTGGCTGTGGCAGGAAGAGAAAGAGATACCTGAACACACTGGTGCTGGGACAACTCCTCTCCCTCTGCAGCTCGTGGAGGTGTTCAGAGAAACCCCGGCAGGACAAAACTGGGTCAAAGATGTCACCTCTGTCTGATAAATCTTTCCTTCAGCAAATTAAAAAAAAAAAAAAAAAAAAAAAGAGCTGAACATTTCCATCTCATAGCTGTCAATTTTATTCAAAAGCATGAACCAGGGCAAATCATTCAGCCTTTTCAATGCCACTGGTGCGTGATCCCTCAGCTTGGGAGGATAAATGTAATGAGCCAAGTGTCTGTTGATTAGTTCAGCAGCTACACAGACAAGACAGGAGGCACTCAGTGCACAGATCCTCAAGGTAAAAGCCGGATCCCGCAGCTCAGATCCTGACACTGGAGAGGGCTTCATTCCAGAAGCCTGTGAAGGGACAGAAAAAGTCCACATGGACTTTAGTCGGCAGCAGAGCCTCCCAAAAGACAGTGGCAAAGAGCAGGCAGGCCTCAATTCCCTCGTGCCCATGTATGTTCAGTTGCTAAGAATGCACACCCGAAGGCAGCGGATGCCCAGAGCAGCAGCACTGCTGCTGAGCGCTGCCAGTGCCCTGGGGAACAGCTCAGGGAGCAGCTTCTGTCCAGGTCCCTGTCACCACATCACCACCTTGGCACAGTCACGTACCAGCAGGAGCTAGATGCAACTGTGTGTGCTTGCTCAGGCCCCAGAACTGAATTCACAGTTCTGAGATCCTAGGTAGAACCCAGAACACTGCCAGACAGTGCTCATAATGGAAGCTGACTTTGGTCTGATTGGCTCATTCAGTGGGCAAACAAACATTTGTAAAAGGAGGTAACAGCTTGTATTATGGACTAAGAACACAGGAAAATAGCAGCTCCTTGTTGAAAGGCTGCTCTCGAAACCTTGTGTGAACATGTGGAGGGGTACGCAAGGATAGCTGTGATTTCATATGGAGATTTATCACAGACTGCAGAAAGGCAATCCAACAGATTTCATACAAACTGGTGCTCATTTTCTGCGTTGTGATATGTGCACTTGACACGTGCTCAGTGACTGTTGTTGAGTTCAGCTTCTTTCAGTCGCTCACTTTGCTTTCTCAGCTAAAGATATCGGTGAACACTGGTGCCCTGTAAGCAGGATTGCTTTGCAGCAGGCATTGTGTATGTGCTGAAGGCACTTCAGGCCCCACATACTGGACCATCTCAGTGGACAACAGAGATAAAAAAGAGGGAAAAGGCAGATGAAAGCACACAGGCACACAGAGTACAGAACTGGCCACCACAAGGTCAGAAAACAGCAAAACTGAGCAGTCCTCACTTAGGACAATTCATGTCTTTTATCACAGTGAAATACTGGCAGAGAGGCTGCAGAGCCTCACGGCATCTGATTTCATTGCAGTGGAGTTATCTGTCAGTGAGAAGGGCTGATCCCAGCCACACAGAAGGCAGTGGCAGACGTGCTGCTGCTGGCAGTGGACCTGCTGACTGGTGGTGAGTGCAAAGGACTAAGAATGCAGCTACAGGGAACAGCTGTGCAGGGAGGAATACTGATTACTCTCTGCACAAGTACTCAAAGTAATCCTCACAGAAAGGAAACACCACACAGACAAAAATTAGTTTAGAAGCAGCCTTCTAAATTTAACGTAACCGTTGGTAGAATTTCCTACTTTGCATCTGAATTGCTGCTGTTCCTCCACACCAGCACTGGGGAGCGGTTCCTGTGCAGCCCCCTGAGCAGGGCAGAGAGCGCTATGCAGAGCAGCGAGCCTGAAGGGCCTATGTGAGAGCATGGAACAAACACACCCGTGGCAATAAATCACGCTGTACCAGGTCCCTTAGTGTCTGAGAAACACTCCCAGGACTGCTCTCACACCTGAGCCAAGGCTGTGGATGTCTTTGTGACTGGGTGGACTTGCTTTGTGCCCCAGAGCTTGCTGCTCACACACCTGACAGTGGTACAGTGCAAAGGGAGACTCTGAGCAAAGCAGTGCAGGAACTGAACATCATTCCAGCAAAACAAATTCTCTCCCCGTGTTCTGCCAAAGAATCCCAGTGTGGCAGCATGCACAGCACTGAAAGCTTTTCACAGGTGGCCACTTGATGGATATGCCTCATTTTCTACAATGCTTAAGCTATGCAGCCTCAGTTGAGTCTCTGTTCATAGCAGGGAGTGCGTTCAGAACAGCTGCAATTCAAGCCAGCTGGAACTGTGCTTTGAACATATAAAGTACTGATATGAAATGTCAGCTCTTAGGTGGCTTGGATAAGCACACCCACAATCAGGGGATACTCAGTAATTTTGTCTGTAGACCATCTATGTCTTTCTTCTCCAACCACAACAGTGACATCACACCCATGATGATGCCATTAAGATAGCATATATATCCTCTCAAAGATTTGTTGTCGTATCTCAGAGCTCAGACATGGAGCAGCCATGTTTGGTATTGTACCAATGCATAAGAAAAAAGGCAGTCCCTGCCCCTACAAAAGTGCACAGTCTGATCTAAAACCAAGAGGGAGCACAACAGAAGACATGCTGTGCTGGACTGCTGCAGCACACCTGTGCTTGGCTCAAGTGTTTTGCAGATAAAGGTGCTGTGGTGAGGTCCTGCAGCCTGCCCAGCCCACGCCCGATGCTGTGCGTTCCGATGGACGCAGTCTCTTTCAAAAAGTCACTGCTGAGAGCTGCCAGGGAATCGAAAGGCTTCAAAGGACACTGAATGATAGAGAGGCCTTCAAACAGAGAGGATCATATATTAAGGGGCAAAACCACTCACTGTCTTACATGTACCACAGTAAGGCATGATTTGCGTTTTCCACATGAAACAAAGCCAAGCCTCCAGCTGTTTGTTTATTCTTTGCATTGCTCCCAAACAACCCAGTGGGGCAGTAGAACCACTGTCTCCCCAGCTGTGGACTGCTCCCACAAGAACCTTCTGCGATGGCTTTCACAGCTCATTTGAAATGTAAGCACTTCTCTTAATTTTAAAAGAAAGGGAAAAAAAAAAAAAAAGAACAGTTGTTCTGAACCTGCAGATCTCTGCATTCTCTTCAAGTGAACACTAGTTGAGAATTCAGCATCAGTCAGATCTCACACACAGCTTCCAAGCACGGCAGGTATCTGCTGCAGGAGCAGTCTGTGGGATCCCTTGAAAACGTTTATGGAAATGTATTCTTTCAAATCCTCACGCAGCCTTTCTCCCTTCCCTCCACCATTTCAGAACAGGAGTACATATACAGCTCTCTCTTTTCCTTGGCATCTGGACAACTCTTGTACTGTCACTGCCCTGTAGTCCTCAGCTGGCATAAGAATTCCAAAATAAATGAGCGTGTTGTAATCAGGAGAAAAATATTGTGTCCTTGTGGTGTTGATGTTTTTGCAGCTCAGCTTCTCAATGGCCACCACAAGTCGAGCTGCATATTTCTTTACAAAAATATGCCTGCACTGCTAACTTGGCAAGGCACTCGTTGAATAGGCATTTAGCTACTTAACTGTTCACTGTGGCCAACAAAGTTCTGTAGGAGAACCTGAAATGGGGAAGAAGAGGCACCTACGTGGCCAGCAAGCGTAGCAAGCAGGCAGTCCTTATGGCAAGTAGTGCCATACCATTAGCCAAAGGCTAATAGTGAGAGTATACAAGAGCAAATGTCTTTAAAGAGACAAAGACACTGACTAAATGCCTAAGTCTATGCATGTTTAAAGAAATCACCTAAGCAAAACAAACACGAACTGATAATTTATGAACCTTCCTACAGATGAAAAAGGAAGAGCATGTGAGGAGAGCACCAATCAATACTGCAAACCAGCATGGAAGTGCTTAAAAGTGTGCTGCTGTGTGAAGTCACGCAGCCTGGGGCAATGCACTCCCAGAGAACTAAAAGGGCCAGGGTGGGATTTTTAAAGCACTCGACGCCAGCTGAGTTCTGCCAACATCTGGCCCTGCCAAACGCAATCCCAGAAGAGCTCTTATCTGTGCACTGCTCTTACCGGGGCCATCCAAATTCCAGCGCCCTTCACTTCTTTCAGAAAGTGATGTGCTGTCTCAACTTCATTTCCAAACATGAGGTTCCGTTTATTCTGTAGCCTTAGAGCTCCTCTAAGTGTTTTTGCCTGTCCCCCATCATTTCACACCAAAGTATCATCAAACTCTGCTTATTTGCACTTTCAGCCTGTGCCTTCTCACCAGGAAGAGAGTACAGACAGAGCCGGAGCTGTGTATTTGCTCAAGCTGCACCATTTAAGTCAAGATCACTCAGACTGCCGATAGCTTTCTCACATCCTTCCCACAGGTGTCCCCTGGTTGCTGGCTGCAGTGCACAGCACCAGGGATGGAGGTTTGCTGCAGGCACAGCAGGTGAGCGTGGGGTGGTGAGGTCACACAGCCTTTTCCAGCAGAACTCAGCAGACTGAGACTGGGACAGAAATGACAGAACACACACAGCCCAGCTGCACCAGTCTTCCCACAGCTGTTGATTTTTATCTCAAAAGGGCAGTTACTATGTGTTATGAAAGTCCAGAAAATACAATGTTGGTAGTAAACTGTTGAGCATCACGTGGCAGAATTTGTGGACTCCATAACTATTAAGGGTGAATTATGCCTCGTTTCAGTGGCTGCCAACATGCAGGCTATTAAGACCACGTAACAGTGTCTGCTGAAATACTTTCTAAATGCATTAAAGCAGAGGAGACACCTGTTACGTCATCAAGACTGGAACAACCTATGCTGAACATACCAAATGCAGATGTGGTGAACTTACAAGGGAATGGGGACAACTGGTTCTTTTCCCACAGATTTCATACTGAAGTAGAAACACCTACACAGTATCATCCAGTGTGAAAAAGCATTCAAAAAGTACTTTTAAATTTAAAAACTGCCCCAGTACAAAAAGAATCTTCCACGGGCAGAATTTGCTACTTCAAATGAGATTGTTAAGCTGAAAACTTACTGCCAACGTGGACAGCAATCAGGGATCTGACGCTCAAGACAGCTGACCTGTCTCTACTTTTGTGGCTTCAGTGGACGCTGAAGTGAAGCCTCAGTTTGTTTTTAAAATTAGTTGCCAAAAGGAAAATATTTTTTCTCAGCATTGGTTCAACTGATTTTCTGTAAACAGATTTAACAAATAATATATAATATGTTGAAAGTAAAATAATAAATCTGTCTGCCATAAAAACAATGGAGCTCTCACCAGCTTGCTCATTAGCAGGCCCATGAGCATGAAATGCATTGGTTTCATACTCGCTCCAAAGTGAAAGTTATCATCGAGTGCATAAAGGACAGTCTATTCTAGTTCTACTATTGCTTTCTCCAGTTGATTTTAAAAATACAATACTGGACACTGGATGAAAGTGCCACAGAACACAGGAGATGTGTGCTTGAGACAGCTTTCTTCTGAAACACTCCTTTTTCTGATATAGTGCAAGTTTGCTAAGATTTACTTAAGGAACAATATTACCGTTCAGACTCCTGCTGAGTAAATGTGGTTTTAAAAGCCCGTGGTATTAAACCTTTTATCTTACTTTATTTTACCTAAACTCTTACCCAATCCTCTCCTCACAGACACGGATATCATAAGGACTGTGCTCTTTGATTAAGTCCAGAACAGCACATTCTACATATCAGCTATTTACATTTTAACAAACAATGCAGTTTCATAGCCCCATCCTTTGAAAGCCTCCAGGAGTCAATGGTGGCACGAAACACAGCGCAGCACCAGTTCTGTCTGAGTTCACACAGCAAAGAGAGCACCGGCTTTTTTCAGGTGCAACGGCTGGATGTGGAGGGAAGTCAACAGCACCGAACGCTGAGGGCACAGACTGCAGCAGCACGAAGGGTCAGCCGTGAGTCCGACCTGCCGTGCCCACAGCTCCGTAATTTAATTAACATTTACATTCTAAAAAAGCCCAACCCATTTGCAAATACTAAGTAACACGGTAAATATGGAACAAATTATCGGCAACAGCAGGGGAGATTTAAAATATGCATCTTGAGTTCGGAGCCGCTCAGAAGCCCACGGTGATGCAATCCCTCAAACACAGCCGTCCCATCAGCACACAGCCACCAGCACACAGCCGTCCCACCGGCGGGCTGTGCGGGCACTGCAGGCCAGGCGCTGCTGCGGAGCCTCGTGCCCGCATCGCACGCCGCCTGGAGCTCGTGGGGCTGCAAAGTGGCGTTTTTCAACCTCTTTGTATTGGGAAACCCGCATCCCTTCTCCCAGGAAGGCCGGGGTGCCGGCACGGTGCGTGCGGCCCGCCGCACCTCACAGCCACCGCCGCTCCGCAGCGCTTACCTGGGAGGCAGCGACGCACAGCCGAGCTCCTGCGGTGCGGCCCCACACAGCGCGGCCCTCTGGGACACCGCGGCTGAGGGCCCCGGGGCTGGGAAAGCACCTCCGGGTTCCGTCCGTCGCACTCGCTTACGGACACTCGCGTCAGTAATCTCGTGAAGCCCGTGGGGCACATCGGTGCCTAAAGGCAACCGCGGGGCGTCTCGGGCACGGCCCGGCCCCGCCATCACCTCACGGTGCCCGGCAGGGGGCGCGGCGTGACTCCAGAGGGCGGCCATGTTGCGCGCGCGAGGCTCAGAGGCGGGAAGCGAAGAGGCGGGAAGCGAAACGGCGGGAAGCGAAGCTGCGGGCACGCGCTGCCGAGCCGTGCACGCGCGCAGTGCTGCCGTTGGTTGCGCGCGCTGCACGTGTCAGCCTCTCTGAGGCCGCTCTCGACGCGAGGTGCCGCTGCGTGCTGCCTGAGCGGCAGAGCGGGCTTGACTGCAGAGCGCTGTGCGGCGCCGAGCAGCCAGGGCAGGGTGAGGTGCACTCGGACCTCCTCCACGCCCAGCACACCGCAGTGCCATCTTTGCCTTATTACTGCCCGTGGGCGCAAAGCCCCGAGCGCGTAGCGCTTGTCGAGCTGACGCCAGCGCTGTGCATTCAGGCTGGGACCAAACCCATACAGGAGTGCTCGTCGCACGCTTCCACCCAAATAAAATGACATGTCACAGCTGAGAGCCGTGCAGGTCCAGCAGCAGAACCCTGTGGTGCTCGTACGTCTGGAGACGAGCAGCGTGCGGCTCGTGGGCTGGAGTGGAGCCAGGGTTGAGCCCCAGTAGTCAAAGCTGGATCCTTGGTAGCACTCGTGATGGGAGGTCAGCGCAATGAAAGGGCCCTAGTAGTTTGAGAAGGAACACAGCAGCACCTCTCCTGATGGGAGGTCAGGCACAGTGAGCAGGAGGGCCCCCCTCGTGCTGGCAGCTCCGTTCCAGTGCTTGGCTGGGCTCCAGAAGATTAAAATAGAGCCTTAGACTGTCCCCTCGGCAGCACTGCCAGCCAGAGCCCTGACAATCCTGGGGTTGTACTCAAACGTGAGTCCCGCGGGAGCGTGGGCTTTACCCGAACAGCTGAGGCACTGACTGGGTCGAAGCAGGCAGGGCTGTTGCTCTTGTGACTCAGAGCGGAGGAAGAGAGGGATCAGGATGGAGCCGAGAGAGAGGGGGGATGAGAGCGAGCCCACAGGGCACACGGCGGGGAAGGAGCGAGTGCCCCGCAGAAAGGTGGAAACAGCCTGGATCTGGGGCTGGGTTCAAAGCCTGCGTTGCCACGAGAATACATATTCAACTATTCGAGCCCAGGTCCTGGTTTAGCTCCTTTCTGTCACCACTTCAGAGGGAAAAAAGTGGCAAGCAAAAAGGCAACATTTTCATTTCTCAAGCATTTTTAGAGCAGTATGGGAAAAGGTAAAGGCCATGCAGGTTCTCGTGAAGAGCCTCCGTGTAAGTGGCAAAATCACCAGCAATGGTCGCAGCTGAGGGGAAGCAGAGCCACAGCCGTACGTGTGTGACTGACTGATGCAGGCACTGAAGTCAGGAGTGCTCCAGGCGCCCGTGAAGCAGCAGCAGTGGCAGAAGTCAGCATGTCTGACAGATGGGATTCAGGCCGTCCTATTGCGGGTCTGTTAATGAAGGCATCCACACTGGAGATGTTGTGCTCTCGTATTTTCATGACGTGATTACAGACAGCACTGCCAAACACCATTTTGGCATTGCCTTTTTTTGTTGTTTGTTTGTTTGTTTTTAGAAGTCAAATTTGGCTGAAATAAATCATGTTGGAAATATCACATTGTTTCAGTCACAAGAATGCCCACCTCACCAAATTCAAAGATTTTATTTGGATATTTCCAAGAGAAAGCGTTAACATTTACTGGTAGAAAAAGGCTGTCTTGTCTTTAAATGTACTTTAATATTAGTTTATAAAGCTCAAAAGTTGCTGTTCGGTTCAGTGCTTTTTTCCCTGTAAGCAGCAGCAGGTGAGTAGCAGAGGGGAGAATTCAACTTGATTTTTGTCCTGCACGTTTGCTATAATAAAAACAGACTTGAAAATCACAATAATTACATGTATTTGCACAGATAAGAAGCAAAAGTCCTGCTGATTAAATAGAGCTAATTAATTAATACTTATCAATAAAATAGAAACTAAGACAAAATAAGTATTTTAAGCAACTCTTTTTGAAATGAGGATATTTGGTTTGAAAGGAGAGTTTGAAAACAGCAGTTAGGGAAAGAGATTGGAGAAGGTTATTTATAAAGTTTTTTTTGTAAGTTTTTTTAAACAAACAAACAAACAAACACAAATCAAACCCCAAATATTTATTTAAAGGCTGAATTAAAAAATACATTAATAGTTTGTTCAGAGAGATGGCAGTTCATATAAGTTAATACACTGGAATGGAACAAGATGGTGATCTTTTGTTGTCAGAAGAACAAGTGAAAAACATGCCTGCAAGAGTTTGCTGCCTTCTTTCCAGTCGGCTTATAAGCATTTCAGTAAAGCAGTGTATAATGCAGAGGCAGTTATAAAACAGCACTGTCCTTCAGGAACCCATGGCAAACTTGTTACAAAGCTCTGTAGGAATTAGCTGTTCACCTACGTATCTCATGTAAAGAACAACTCTTAGCTCTGGGCAAGGAAAACATGTCAACAACCAGGCCTGAAAAATGTGTGGTACATGCAGAGTGCATCAAAGTGAGTACATGCACACAAGAAATCCTTCTTTGCCTTGTGCTGTTTCTCCTGTTTAATTTCTCAGTGTTACTGCAGGTGACTGAACACCTGTGTGTTGGTTGTTCTTCCCTAACTTAGCAAATGTGGTAACAATGTTTTGAAATTAAAAATCAAGGAAGCAGAAGTGACCAACATTGTAAGAGTTACTTTGCTCCCTTATTTAACTCCACTTTGGCTGCGTTTTGGTTAAAATATTTTCCACGTGTGAAAGTACCCACAGATATTCCAGTTGGATGCACTGACTCGGCATGCCATGGCTGAAATGCAAACATCCGCCCGCACTTACATTCCCATGTGTACCTGTGCACTGATGATGTGGATGCTAGGCAGAACATGGTGTCCCTGCTCTGTCACAAGCTCTCTGTGACCTTGGCCATGTCACTTATTCCAATTCTGCCATTATCTGTACAGAAGGGAGAGAGTGCATGAGGCGTCAGGAGGCTCGGGCAGAATGGCAGCTAAATACATTCAGCAACCTGTGCGTGTTTGAAACAAGGTACACCGTTACCAAAGCAGAATCCCTCCAATTTCCCTTCAGCATTCGAAACAGGCTTGTTCTTATTTCTCCTGCTTAAATACATGAACCCAGATTTATCCTCAATGAGAAATTTTGTGGTGCTTTTCTTTTCCTCATATAAGGATATGTGAAAAACAGAATAATAACAGAAGAGTGTGTTTCTCTTTATAAGGTAATTCCTTCAGTAGGTAATATCTGGGGTGTTTCTCGACTACAACCAGATTATATATGCTCTCAACGCAGCGTGTTTACAACGTGGCCTGAAAGCACAGATTCACACAAGGAATGCACAGCGGATTCTGCCTGGCTGTCACTGTAGATGTGCCCGGCGTGCAGCCATGGGGTGGCTGTGCTGACACTGCTCTGATGCACAGACGTGTGCTTGTATGGCAGCAATTTCTGCAGGTGTAACGCACCAATGGGAAAGGTGCCACTACAGATCTGACTGCCCAGATATCACGCCTGTGTTAAGGCTTGCACATTTATGCAAAATGATTTTCAATGTTGTTGTTTTTGCTGGGAGTCTACTCTCACATACAGACTGTGGAAACCATGCCCCTGTCTGGTAGATCTCTGACTATACAGACCAAAATTAAAATTTGGAGACTGTATTTGAAAGATTGGCCTTAGAAAAATTCCCTTTCCAATAAAAATAAAAGAATTGAGAGAAGAACACAAACTGCAGTGGGATGTCCACTGACTGTAAAGCTGACATACGTGGATACCGATGATGGGCACATGGAACCTATTGCAAAAGGGACACGAGCTCTCACGGCAGGTAGGGTGGTGTGAATGCACAGGATAGCATCTTTTTTGGTTATTGAGGGAGCAGACTTGAAGGACATGATTTCAGAAGATCGTAGGAGCGGTAAGAATACAAGAGCACTTCAGGTCTTCTGAAGTTTAAAAGAGCCAGGTTTCTATGATAGTAGATCAAACAAAAAATTCTGTTAAGAACATTTTTATGACAATGATTCACTTGAATAAACCTAAGACTTCTTTTACCAACCAATCTTTTTTTTTCTAAAATAGTATTTAATATCTGAAGTTATAAAAAATATTTGTAGTCTTGAAAATTATTTTTATTGTCTATTTTATGTACTATACATGCCTCTTTCAGGAATTATTAAAGAAGCATGAGTCATACGGCACTCATTTACTCTTGGCTCATTGCCATCCTCAATATATATTTTGCTATTTTCAAACCATTTGTAGGTACATATGCATGAAAATATTGTTGTGTCAAGTCCCAAGATCACAGTTAGCGCAGCATACATTGTTCCTCTATATATTTACAAAGTTTTAAAGCACATAAAATTGTGCATTATTATATACCGAAGTTTAAACTTTAACATACGCTTGGTCGCATATATAGCAACAAGTTACAATAAAAATCTGAACAAAGACAACCAATAAACAGCCAAATTGCTATGTACAAACGAGGCAGGAAGCAATTAAACACTGCCTTGCACATTTCACTTAAATTACTTTTTCTCTGAGGGGAAAAAAGCAAACAACCCCTCCTGCCCTCCCTCAGCTCCCCAGTAACCCTGAACAGTCTTCATTTTTTCAGTGAAATAACTGGAACTCCCATAGCATTCAGTAAACATGACTTCATTTGCATAATGTGGGAGAGAAATTAGGTCCCTATTATAAAACGTAGCAATGCGTTCTGCCGTATTTTCCCTCCCAGTAGCACACAGCAGCAGGGTGGGCTCGCTCTCTGAACCTTGCTTAGACAGCAGTCCCTTTGGCATCTAGGGGAACATTCCATGAGATGAAAACCCTTTTGTCTTCCTTACACGTTTTGTTTTTTACGCCAGCTAGCTGTGTTGCTTTCAGGCTGACCGCACGATCCAGGCCCTTGGAGGGCGCGGGGCGCTGTCCCACCTTACGGCTGGCTGGGTTCCTGGCTCAGCTGCAGTGGAACTACTCCTGATTTACATTGGTGCAAAAGACCCGGGAATGAGGGCCAAGGAAAGCAGGATTGGGCCCAGACTGACCTTTATGTAAAGTAAAACACAAAAAAAGTCTGTGCGTTTAGCTTAAAACATAGATTACTACAGTTCACAGTTTGAAAGGTAATTAGTGCTACACCAATAACTTCCTTTTCTAAAAAATCAATTTCATAGAACTTTATCAAAAAAAAAAAAGAAAGAAAGAAAGAAAGAAAGAAACAAACAAACAAAAAACAACCCTAAGAAATCTCTTCCTATTATTTGACTAGCAAAAATAGGAGGCTTTCTGTAGCCTACTGACAGACAAGCTTAATGACACTTTACCCTACTATGGGATGACTGTTTTAAAGGCTAAATCTTGCCCAAGATTTGTTACAAAAAGGCTGAGGAAGATATTCTAGCGTGGCTCTTATTTCATCCCAAAAGCACAGTGTGAGAGACAGCCAGCTGGGTAAGAGCTCATAAACATCAATATGGAGAGGAGATGATCTCTGTGCTAGTAGGATCTATACAGCTTTCAGCAGCATATGGGGTCTGCTCCAAAGCCTCGTCAAATCAACAAAAAAGCTCCTATTGACTTTGTGAACACTTACAGCAGAGACAACTGTAGTTTGTGCCTACACAAAGGGGGTGAGACTACTGTCCAAAGCACCTTTCCAGAGTACAGCTCTCAGCTCACCTTGGGGAATGGTGCCCTTTTTTGCAGAGAATTTTCTGGCCAACAGCTCTGTTTCATACTTCTCTGACATGATTTAGCCTTATGAATTCTCCTTCACGGAATCAAAAGATAAATTATACTTACAAATAAAGTATTCTCGCTATTTAATGTTCTGCTGTAGTGGAAAAATTAGAGACCCACCTTGATGAAGTCTCTGTTGCCTGAAAATTCACGGTCTCTTTTCTAAAAATACTTCTTGCTGATGGCAAAGTTCAACACCTCAGAGAAATTCAGAGTAAGTTTCCAAGTTGTGTACCGTATTTTCAAATACACTATACCCTTGTTGTTAGTAAGGCTCCATTGAAGTTTTACGTAACAGTCATGAGCCATGAGTTTAAACACCTTAAAAGAGTTGACCAGCAACTTAATGCATTTCTTTGTTCTGTAAGAAATGTAAAGATACATCGTGTCTTTCCAATACACTATAAAATGTTCAGGACATAATATTACATCCTCCTCCTCTCCCTTTAATGTTTGTATTTAAAAATATTTATGCTTCATCAGTGAATTATTGATTATATATTTCTCTGCATGTGCCCTTACTGTGTAGAAAATCTACTTATCTATTAATATCTAGGCAAAGCAAAACATGTGCAAGCATAGGAGATAAATGCTTTTGAGCCACAGGTTTCTTCAAGCAAACTGTCCATCTTGCAGATGCAAAGAATCATTAGTGTAAACCTTGCAGTTTACCTATATCTAGCACTCTACTAGCAGAAACAGGAATGTTTTAGACCACAGGGTCCACTGGTTTTTTGTGGGGTCATAATGTTAGAGTAGCATGGTTTTTTTCTGGCCAGTCCAAGTAATGCCTAGAAATTAGAAGAAGCTGGGTACAGCCCAGGTGAAAATAAACTCCCTGATAAACACAGAAGTTCTGTGCCAAGCTGTTAGCTAAGAAAGACAGCTATCCAGAAGTTTGCAGAGCCAAAGTACCCACTTCAGATTTGAGCTTCAGCTCATGTAGGTGGGTACAGACTCATTTGAATGAGATGACTCAAGAGATTCTAGTATGTGCTGGGCTGTGAAACTCAGTATTTCCTGTGTCTGTGTATGAATCCTCTGAGAAGGACCCTATCTCCAGCTGGAGTAAGGGTTCCCAGTGATTAAAGCAACCGTCTGGGTTCTTAATTTTTATTTGATTTCTTACTGTGAGCCTTTACTCTAAGGTCTACTTGGAACAGTCACTCAATCCTTCTGTGCTTCTATGAGGTGAGGGTAACAGTGCTGTATTTCACAGGATTCTTCCGAATTGCAGTAGTTGCTTGGGAAATGTGTGAGTGATCTTCCTACGAGAACCACAGAAGTGTTATGATTAGTGTTACCACTATGCTTGAAAGGCATCTCTTTCTACTATTTATTTATCTCTGGGTTATCAATTTAGAACAAAGAACAGATATTTCTTTCAAAAGATAACTAAGTGCTTTATAAACAAAGTTATTTAAAGTTAGAACTATTTTGACTGTTACAGTTGGGAAAGAACCTCAGCCTAGAGGCAATGGGATCAAGGAGGAATGCCCTGCAGGATGTCACGTGAACACCACTTCCATATAGCAAAGTTAAAATCAACGTGCAGTAGATTCTGGCTGGCATTTGCACTCCCAGAATCAAATTCTGCCTTAGCACACACACAGGCAAAATTAGGGAAAAGTCAACCTTTTCCTCAGTTCTTTATTAGATACATGACTACTTCTGGAAAAGCCCATCAGAAGGAGTGAATAAAAGAGATTTTACATCCTCATCTATCCAGCAGTGTGTACCTGTTCTTCTGCTGGAGGTTTTGCTACTTCGTGCCCTCACTGTTCTGTTTGTCCTGAAAAGCCAAAGCAAAGCAAGGTGGGTTTCATTTTAGGAATATCATCTCGTATTGTATCATCACATTTTACAACAACTCGGTCTCAGCATACTGTTGTTTTTATACTTCAGTAAGCAGTTACATGGCAGCTTTGCTCAGAGGCTGAAAAGGTCAGGGGAGCCCGGGCTAGATGCTGTATTCTAGCAAATCATTTGTCCCTGACAAACAGCCTTCTGCTAACAAACATAATCTCATGTACCAAGCTGTTGCTGCCTTCAGCAATGGTAAAACATCACTGTTTGGTTCTATGGTGTGTGAGTCAGGTTTTCCCCATGCAATTTCATGTGGCATACAACATACAATGCATGTCCTTCTAGCTGCAAATTGGCACTGAGACTTTTGCTCCCCCATCTTCTCACCCACAGGAATTTTCTGTATGGGTCTTGTTTGGAGCCTTTGGAAGTGAATGGAAATGTTTCCATCCTCACTGAGGATTGGATCACATTATGAATATCATCGGTACAAAAAGTTCACTTTCCTCTCCTCCAGAAAAGAGAAATTACAAATGTAAATACCTTATAGAAAGTTTCTGCCCTTATATCACTGCTTAGGCTCTTCTTGGCTTCTGCATACTGACCAAGCATGAAATAGTGAATAACATTTATTTTTGAATTTATGGATTGAGTTCACAGGGATTTTAATAGTACTGGGGTTATGGAAGTGCTATTTTAATAAGGACCACAGATCATGGGCCCAAATCCTTACCTTCACCTCAAGGACTTGTAAACTCAACTATTTAACTCAAATCTCTTTATTGGAGGCCTTAGAATGTATCCACCTGGAGGCTGAAAAATTGAAGGGTAGAAGGCTGCGCAAACATGGAGTGAGGGAATTTAACCAGCAGGAATGTGGCCCATAAAATTAAACTTCAAGAACTGTATAAGAAAAATTAAAGCTCGTGCAACAGCTGGGGTTTCTCTTCACATTAGTTCATTTCTCAGTGACTCAGATGTTATGGTTCTCATTAATATAGATTTCTTTGTTGAGATCATCTTCTGTAGTACTCTAAGTCTTATTCTGGTTGCAAATGACAAAACTGTGATCTGCCTTTGACAAATACAGCATGCTAACACGCCGTTTTGCACTCTTCTGAGGATACCAATGTTTATCGGTGAAACAAACAAAAAATTGTAGCTTTAAACTGCACCCCAAATTTCCCTAATGGGAATTTCCAGAATATCCCAATTTCAGACATAGTGATCAGATACTCCTGAATATACACTGAAAAATCAGGAACAAAAGTAGGTGCATTTCCTTCCAGTGGATGTTTGAGAGTCTCTGCAACATAAAGAAATGCACACTTGTGTGGTGGGTAGAGGACCAAGCTTCTATTCACTCCTACTTAGACCCTGTGTATATTCACTCTGGAGAGACTGGACTCATTCTGTCTGCTTGTGACCTCAAAGGTTGACTCCTGTCTAAGCCTTTAAAATAACCTGCTACTTATGTCATTTGAAATCTGAGCTTCTGAAAAAACCTTCAAACGTTGTGATAATTTTGTCAGGCTCTGGCAACATTCAGAGGTTGTGCATGCAGTGTTAACGATGACTGGATTTTTTAGATACTGAAAGAATGCTCAGTTCTCTATAGTGGCTAGCTACTGTGGGATAACTGTTACTAAACCAGTTAGCACTTCAGTTACATGCAACCTCAAGATATTCAAAAGTGCCGAGGAGAAGAAAAATGCATAGGAGATGCTGGAAAACAGGTTCATAGAGGTTTAGGACACAGTCCTAACATGAGGACACCAAGGATGTTACAATTTCTGCTACATTGCAGTCAGAACCACTCATGCTTAAAATTTTGCATGCTTAGAGATATCTGGAAATTAAGACAACTGCAAAGACTGATCACTGGATTTGCAGCCACAAAGCATCCTGTTATGTGTGAGCCTACTTGCAAAACTGCTGATACAAGTAATACTGCTTGCATCATGGCAGATACTGCTATAAGACTGGGAGTCTGGTGATGGAGTCAAATGATTAGGATTCTTCTGAATGACACAAGTTGTCATTTCAGGAGCTGGACTTCTAAAAGTAGTTTTGAAAGTATGGCCCTATATGCATAATGCTCACTACCTCCTTGTGGAGCAATGGGAAGCAATGCAGAAGTCTGGAGTTACAGTGTGCTGCTGAATACTTCTGAGACAGCAGAACCCACAGGATCATCTGAAAGCATTTTCTGTTGCATAGCATTGTGCGCATCCTCATTTCCTACAGACTGCATGCTCATTGCCCAGGATTTGCCCTCTTCACTCAGAAATGTTGTTTTATAAGGTTCCATGTGTATCCTATGGATGTTTTGCCTTGATTCCTCATACTTGCCTTTTCCATCTTCTGGAAGGCTGGATGCATGAGGTAAGAAGGTGCTCCGTGACTCATCGATGGGAATCTGTAACTGCTCACTGGAGGTAGGTTCTTGAGATAAATCTGGAGATCGCATGAGATGCTGAGTGTACACACCTTCAGACAGAGAGGCAGACTGTGTCTCACTGTGCACACGCAGCCAACGATGATGCCTGCTGAAGTAGCTGTAATGTTGATGTTTCCCTAGTCTCTTTTTCCCTAGAAAGCTCAATGGCTGCTTGGAGCTAGAGGACTTGTCTATGCTTTTTGATGTAATCCCTGACATTGTTAGATTGCTCATATACTCTGTGCAATATTCAGCATTAGTATCAAAGGCACTACACTCTGTCAGGCCTTCTTTCAGTGTTAGGCAAGGCTTCACGTCGTGGACTTGGAGAACATCAGGTGCACTACCGCCCAGGCCACTGCCTGCCTGCTGGGAGATGTCATGTGGGGAGGAGTAAATCAAGTCTAATTCTCTGGGGCTTAATGCATCACTGGAATCATAGTCACTGTCAGTTGGAAGGAATACCTCCGAACAGCCTTCTTCATCTGAGCAGGGCTGGGAATCTGCAAAGAGAACTGATTAATAGCAAGAAGACAAGAGACAAGTGCAACACAAAAACTGCTTAACAATTATTTCCTTTTATTTTTTTTTTTTTTTTTGTCTTAATTAGAATAATATCTGCAATTCTGAAAATATACCTTTGTTTCCTCTGTGGAATTTTCCACAGGCCTAGGTGACAGCAAAGACAGTAGTCAGAGAAGATTTGCAGATGTGTTAAAGAGGTGGTGGTGCAGTTAGGAAAAGCAAAGAGGATTCACTATTCAGTTAAATACGGGGAAGAATTTGAACTGGAATTGGGATTAAGTTCTGAAAGTACCTGTTTTCTTTTACTTCGCTTTCACCAAATTTCACAGAGATGAAGATTTGGGAGAAAGAGAAAATCTAATCCACGTTCTGTTTTTTATTAAAGATGTTAGCTGAGTTACTACAAACAGATACCCCTGTAACTGTGAGCAGGGTGCAACTGTGTGTGTATACCAGAGCTTGAGGTGAGGCATGGAGGTAGATGAGCAAAACAACCCTTTTCCTTATTGGCTGCATTACTGTGTTCAAATCCAAAACAGATACACTTAATATACTTAATTCAGATTCAAATTTGTTGACCAAAATGTGCAATGGCACTGAAATCACTGCTGTCTTTTGGTTCTTGAAGGATCGATAACAGATAGAATGGATTGATGTTCCTTGACTGTGCATAGTTTATATGTTATATATAGTTTATACCAGAAGGAAAAAAAGTGGAGATTTTATACCATGCTGGCTATTCACTTTAACCTAGTGTAAATTACAGTATAGTGCAATAGTAATGAAGTCAGCCCACGCAGGGCAAGATAATGCTCTAGGTTACGTGGTGTCAGAGCTAAGGATTATTCTGCATGCATGCTCTGTAGAGCAGGGAAAATTTAGCTGAGGGAGAGGCGCTGAGAAAGAACATCACTGTACTTTAGTAATTCTGGAGGTCATGGAGAAGTCAGTGGTATGACTTGTCCCTTCTAACCTGTTCATTAAATGATCAGGAGCGGTGAGGTGACAAAGTTGGCTGCTGATAAGCAAGTATTCTGAGTAATTTAAAGTAAAAACATTATTGTAAAGATTGTAGAAGGATCTTGGGATACTGAGTGGTAAATGATTGGGAAAATGACTGTTAAAGTACCTTGGCAGGAACGGGAAACATTTACTCCTTTTATAAAATGAAATTCAAGAACTGTTTTAATTAAAAGTGAATTGAAAGACTTTGCATGATGAACAAATGGTTCTCTTACCGCTTACAGCTTTTCTCCTCTGACTTCTAGCCTCAGGTGAGGAAGGAGGTGAGGGAAGACAATCTAGATGTGAAGATGTCGAACTGACTTTCTTTTGAGAGTGTTCTTCTGAAAGATTCACAAGTTTCTTTATTGGTAGGCCAGCTGCAGGCTGCTTGTATCTTGCGTACTGCAGTGCTTCTGTGATCCATCTCATTTCCCTCCAGATCTCATCAACTTGCTTTTGAGGAAAAAAATAGTGAAAAACTACAATTCTGTCTGCACAATAATTCTACCTCAGTGTACTTTTGAGTACCTAACCAGGTGAGCAGTCACTGACATCAGAGAGAAGCAGATTTTAGTCTGAACTGCCTTTAGTTAAGTGCTTTTTTTGTTGTTGTTTTTTTTTTCTGCTTAGGGCCTAAATTTTAAATTAGGTATCTCAATGGAGAATCTGTAGGTAGGAGGGATGAATCTAGGTCTAAGCTCTGACGTGGAAATAAATGAAAACTGTCTTTTGATGGAGGATAAAGTTTAATCAATTTTGTAGCACGCTTGAAAGTTGGTTTCATTCTGCGTTGGGATGAAATCAGGTTGTCTCAAGGATTCTTGTGAACCCACGATTACACTGAAAAGCAAAGTGCTCAGATCAAACCCAGTTTTTGAACAGTAGAAGAATATATGTGCATGTGTATGCACACGAGGTATCACAGCAAATCTGTGAGACAAACTGCATTTTTTCTCCCTTGCTATTCTGGTCTGTATGCATTTTAACAGTATAAATCCACACAGGACAGTTCTAATTCATGCCTGTTGATGGCAATAAGAGACAAGTACCAAAATCAATTGCAGGATATGGCTTCAAGCATTTAAGCAGAGAAAAGATACAATTTAATGTGGGTCCTGTGAGTCTTTTGATAACAGAACACCGTCAGTGTCTTGCCAGTGAGTTAATTCTGATAACAACCACAAACGGTTCAGGCGTTTGTTCACAATCCAACTTCATTTCAAGACTTAATTGTAGCTCCACAAAAAGAATACAATTACTTGACCAGTTAGTGAACTTCTCATCTGTTTGATTTTGGAGATCTGATATTTTCTTTCTGCAATCCTCCTTCAGCCCTCAACAAAAATCACACTACTTCCAGTTTGTGGAAATGCAAATCTTGTGAGTTTTCTCTGTGATGCCATTCTACAGCATCTCACAGGACAGTGAATCAGTCATTTTAATGAACTATAGTTCTTAAATTATTTAGGAATGCTTGAAGCACTGTGCTATATAAATTACAGCTTAACTTCAATTTTAGTTTCAGTGACTGTAGATATTTTGTCTTGCTGTCTAACATTCTGGGAAAGATGCTGAGTACCTTATCTGCTGTGTTGTTGTTGTTGAGAAATATTTTTACATTTTAGCTGCCCCGACTCTTTTTCAGAACTGCATTCATGTAGACTCCCTTGCTCTTTACAATGTTTGGTTTGTGTAGTAACTTCAACACTGTCTTAGATCTAGGATCACACAACTGCTCTCGCGGTTTTGTGGTCACCGCTGAAGATTGTGGTATGTGGTGGGCTGAGATATTTTTGCCAATAGGTGGAATACAGCTGGTTTTCATTTAAGAGGAAACCTGACAAGGCTAATATACTGTCACAATAACTCAGCACAAAACACGGAAGTTTAAAATATTCTCCTATATTTCCCAGCATGATTCTGTGATTTACATGCGACTTAAAGACTCTGGAGAAAAGGAACATAGAATTGTCTATACAGTGTGTATGTATTAATATACCTATATTCATTTTTGATGTGAAAGGTAAACATTTCTCAGATGCTCCTGCACACTGGGAGAAAACCTGAGTGTGAGAATGGGGAGGTGAGGAGGAAGGAGATAGTGGAGATGTGAAAGCACAGTGCTATATTCCTCTCTGCTCCTCTGCGGGTTTCTAACGGCTCTGAAGTAGACCATGCAAAGGGGATCTAATTCAGAGCAAGGAAAAACAGAAATATTATCATCTAATTATGAAGGGCCAAATATGTTATTAATGAGATAAGTGATTGTATTGGCCCCTGTTCCGGCAGAAGATGTCTACAGTATTAAAAGCATGGAGCTGTAAACTGATCTGCACTTCACTTGTAGAAAGACAGATCAACCAGGTGCATAGATGTCTTCTGTAAAGGTCAAGGGTTTCGTCTGTGAGTAATCAATTACCAAAATGGTTTGCAAAAGAGCAGAGAAAAACTGTTACTGAACAGAATGCCCATGCATGGCAATAGCTTACCTCACATTCGATGAGAGCGAGTTTTACAAGCAGGCTGACACATTTCTGTGTAACAGCCTAGCATGACCGTCATTTGATTTTACCCATAAAAATCCTTGTATAAAAGCAACAACTAAGGAAATCATGTTCTGGGTTAGAATTTCATAAAAGCAGAATTGCGCTTTTGATACAACTTCTCTTTTTATGACGTCTGTGAATAATTCTCCATTTAGATTTCAAATTACAGCCTTATGCAGTTTTTAAGAAAGCCACCTTAAAATCTCCTTGGAATAGTCAGAAACAGACTATTACCTGTATGTAGTCTATAACTTGCTGGTGTCTTTGTTTGGCTGCAGCGACTTCACTGTCTGAAATTGCTTCCCTCAGGGACTGCTGGGTTTTCAGAGAGTCCAGCTCTATGACAGCAGAAAGGCGGCAATACAGGCTTATAAATTTTTCCTTGTAACAGCAAAAATGAACTGTGAAAAGACCAAGTGCAAAGGAAACACTGTTATACTCTGGTTATGAAATATGAAATCCTTAGCTCTCAGAACACAAATTTTATTAAATGTAATTATTAACTCTCTGGATGGGTTACTTAAAGCTGGAAATAAATAATACAGGCTCTAGTTCTCCTCTCATTTACACTGGATTTACTCTGTTACTTCATCAATTTCAAAAGAGTCATTTCTAATTTATATCTATGTAAGGGATAATCAGGCCCTCAGTATGCAACTCCTGAGGCTCTTTTGCCCTCGATAGCTTTAATCAGAAGGCTCTTTTCTGAGGCTCATCATTTCTTTTATCAAGCAAGTAGTGACATGACTGGAGAACTGAACCCTCTTTCTTCTTTTTAATTGGGTGTTTCAGAGGAAAAGTACCATTTTGGAGGATGATAACTTTCTTTTGGCCTAGGCTCACATAGATATGTAACTCAGATGTAAATGGCAGCATTAAAAGCGTTTCAGTGACATCACAGGTCAGGTGAAACAATTAAAACATTGTTAGTTGTTATCATGTGTTCCCCTCTGAACTGTTGTGCAGAAGGTAGTGCAGAAAGCTCAAACTGACATCTTTGTGCAGCCGGATGCAGTAGCACAGAGCTGTGTGAGCTGCCAATGAATGGAACAGCTACATGGAGCTTCACAGACATTAATTTGCCTGGCCTCTTAATGCCATGTTCTTCCAGAACCTCGTGTGCTCAGGCAGAACTTGCCAGTGATCTCTGCAAGTTGCAGTACAGACATATGAAAGTTGCTGAGGGAGAGCAAGTTTTCAGAAATACTTCCCCATCATTGCAAGCACACAGTGTGATCTTGTTAGTGCAGTGAATGGCAGCTGGCTTAATACTGCCACATTTCTGGGTGGAGGCATGATGTTTCGTAGGTGTTTTGTGTGCAAAGTGCATAATTTCTTCTTATCATAAATATAAAAACAAAAACTGGCATAGATCTATTTATCCCTTGCAACCAACATGATTAGGAAAAGTAATAATTTCTCAAAATGAAAAATCCGATCCCAGAAACATCACTAACATAACAATGAAAGCTGAATCTGAAACAGAAATCCCACCAAAAAAGGGGAGTGAAAAAGAATTCTGCCTTCTGGTTTCCCAATGATGCCTAGATACTGCAGGGATCTAGTCTGAATAGTGTGTGGTCTCACAGTATATATGCCATATGTGATGGACTCTTGAGTGAATTACAGCCGCGGTTTCAGCTTCAGTGCTGAAGTTTCTGGCCTTTGTGGTTTTAAGTCAGACCCTTTAATGTTACTTTAACAAATGTTACTTCAACGTAGTCTTTTGTGGTTATGCAATTATATAGTTGGTAGCCACCACCTAATGGGGAATGGAAGCTTCTAATATTTGAGATGTGAATCACAGTCACTTCACAGAACATCAGGGATACATATATAACAAGTCATGTAGAAAATGTCATCTGCCATGGCTAGATGATTGCTTACTTTAATTAAAAAGAAAGAAAGAAAGAAAGAAAGAAAGAAAGAAAGAAAGAAAGAAAGAAAGAAAGAAAGAAAGAAAAAGTAAAATTCAGCTTTCCATTCTGATATGAGCTTCCTACCCACTGCAGCAACATTGCTAAGCTGAGGTTTGCACACAGACTGCTATGGTGCATGTTTATCTGCACCACATCATTCCACTCTGTCCATCCATTTATCAGCCCAATGCAAACTGCATTCCAGAAGCGAGCATAGCTCTCACCCATGGTCTATGTACCACATGATGAGAGTTAAATAGTTTGCAAGACCTGTAGTACAGAGACGAATTTCACCAGAGATGAATATACTTCATGCATTAATTTGCACAGTGAATGCAGTAGTCACCGTTCATAGGGAGAAATAATATGCTGAATACACAGAGTCTAACTGTAGACCTCAAGGCTGCACGTCAAGAAGACTGTAAATCTGGTTTGAGGGCACTACTGTCACATCAAATGCCAGAGCCATGTGACCCAAAGCTCTGAACTGTCACTTCTAGTTCAATTACGTTGGTTCTCTGTTGAAGGAGTAACTCTGCCTTGGCAGAATATAGAGCAGCTCACGTATTGTCTGTTTGTAGCACTCCATAATTTTATGGCAGCTCCACTGTCATCTGTCCTCCCACAGCCAGCATAAAACCCAGAGCTGTCATGGGCACCAAGCTGTGTGCCCTGGCAGATGTGACATAAACACAATCGTATGCTCCTGCCTGATTCAAACAAGATTTGTGCTGCTGGATGATGAGAAGTCACGAATTCATTGTGCCTGCAGAACCCCAACCTCAGCTAAAAGACCTTCCATTAACATCCAGTTACTGTTCTCCTCCACCAGTGACTGCCAACACCCAGCGATGGCATATGGGAAACAGGATGGTGATAATGATATTGTGAGGTGGCTCCCTGTGTACTGCCTCCATCAGTTGTGGCTCTTTCTCTCTCTAAGGTAGAGGCAAGAAATAATAACAAGCAATTTTACAGGCCAAAAGGAAACAGAAGAGCCTAGTGTGTAAGGCTCAGCAGTCCCCTTACTCATCATATTCCTTCTATGAAGGACTTCAGCATTTCTCAAGATAACAGACTTTTCCTGCTGCAGCAGTAGGACTGAGCATCCCACATTCTTTCAAGAATCAGAAAGAAAAAGATGACCTTTAACAAAGGTATCTATATGTAAAGGTAGGAGCTGCAAAAATCATCCTCTTCAAAACTGGTTATTCCTGTGGCAATTTAGAGGTGTGCTTTCTATTGCATCTGCTTTGACACTCCAGCATTGCCATGCCGTATTTTTTTTTAATGCTGATTTTTAAAGAACATCAACTTCCAAAGAAGTGTGAAGATACATACTGGATAACTGTGGGCTTTGCTCTATGCTTTGCATTTCAATAACGATTGCTACAGTATATGCTTTAACCGCTCTGCTCCCTCTGTAACTTGTACACAGTTATAGGTAGTGTTGTTGCCAAAGCCATCATGTGATTTATTGACTCTCCACTGGGACAAGGGGGAAAACAGATACAACTTTGTGATTTTATTATAAGGAGACTGGGTTAATATTTCTAGGTGAAGCAAGCTACTATACCGAGTTCAAACATCTGAAGAGGGAGGTTAAGAAATCCTGAGTGTGGGGTGTAAGGATTATTCTGTCCTGGGGCAGTGCAGACGTCGTCTGAGGCGGGGAGCAGGAGAAGAAAGGAGACATTGTGACCCAGTTCCAACACCTCCTGTGTATACAGACGGAAGTGCTTAGCCTGTAGAGGGACACGCGCGGGGGAAGAAATAGGAGAGAATTACAACATGGCACTTATATAAACAACACCCCAAATGATATAAAACATTAAAGAAAATTTGCACAACATCAAGCTTGGAATTTTTATAAAACATAAATATTTGGGGGGGGAGGAGGGACTCTAAATGTGGGTTCATGTCACTACATAAAATAAAGATTTAAAGCTGCAATGTTCCACGCTAAAACAACACACACAGGCACAGCCCCCCTGAAAACAACATTTATGTTTCTTATTAGGCAGAAAATGATCACATGCCATGTGCTTTTCAAGATTATGATTGCATAATTATGTGAAAACATGAAAATGGATTCAATTAAAAACCTTTAAGATTCAATTTAGGGTTGGTTAAGAGAAATATGCAGCTCTCCCTCAACATAGCACTGAAAAGCTTTAACAAGTGCTGCAGCAGGAGCAAATGGCACACACAGCGTTTGGCCTGAGGCTGCTGCACAGCTGCTGTGTGCAGTGCTGCACTTCTCTCGGGGAGTGCAGCGCTGTCACTGCCCATGATTCTGCCTACCAAAACCAACAAAACTACATAACTACATCTGTTGAATAAAAAATTCGATTTGGTAACACAGAAGCTCAATCCTGAGTCATCGAAACATTTATAACTGCGCTTAACTGCAAGGTCAGGTTTATGTCTGTCCCTTGTGCACAGCAGATGAGCTTAAATGCTTTGCTGAGCTGCAGCCTATAGAACAAATTGCAAATTGCTTTCAATATTTTATTCCCTTGCTCAAAAAAACCCCAACAAAGGCACAAAAGCTATAACCTCCAAGAAAATACATTGGTACGGGGACCTGTACAAAGCCCTGTTGGATTAGAGGCTGACCACAAGGTAGCACACCGCCTGTCTTCATTCTGGATTTACTTGAGCCTTATGTAGCTCTTCCTAGGCTAGAAGGTGCAGCACTGATGGATTCCCCTTTAAAATAAAGCCTGAACCTTTCAAAAACAAGAATTGTTGAGCCAGATTAATTCATTTTAAGGCCACATCTTTTTAGCTGCACAAAGAGATCTTGAAGTGAATATAAAGATGATTTACTTCTACTGTAAGCCCTCTTTACCCTTGTAGACCAAAATAAAGTGGAATTTGTGTAAACAAGAAACAAACTCCTTAGCTTGTTTTTCCATGCATCTTTCACATCACAGATTATCCTCTCTGACTTCTTTATTTATTCAAATACACATCTGTTCATAAATGTAAAGCCAGAAGCTGATACCTCTCCTCACCCACAGCAATCTAGAGGTCTGAACCTATGTGTTTTAGGAGTCTTTATTTGTGTGAAAGAACTGCACAGTGCTGAGTCTTCAGTAGCCTTTTGTACACCCTCAGTGTTACCTCCAAAAGGATCATCATTTGCTCCTCTTCCCTGCTAACGTACCTGTTTTCCTTTGCCAGCTGGGTAAAGATGCTCACAGCTACTTGAGTTTCATGCAAAAGTGCTTATTTGCACCTGCCCAAAGTTGTATGCTAATAGATGCAAAAATAGAAGCCTTTGAATATTAGTCTCTAAAACCTTTTATGTTCAAATATCCAGGAAAATAACTAACTTACTTGAAGGTGTTTCCCCCCTCAGCTAGAATAACTGAATAGAAAGGTTCTCTGCTTTTCTTTCCTTAGAACATTTACATTTAATTCCTACTCTAAAGTTGCATTTTAGCTTTAGTCGTGTTCTTAAGAATCAGTTTTAAAAAGGGTGATAAATACCACAAAGGAAAATACCTGATGCAGAGGTAGATTGATCTGTTTAAGGAGAGCTTTCACTGCCATCTGGAGCTCATACAAGAACAATTGAGTAGGGCAGTCTGAAGTATGATCCATACTTTCCACAGATTCTGAGCCAGAAAGTGTTTGGATCCATTCCCACTCATCTCTGTATGTTGAGTTGAGTTAAAATTAGAAATATAACAAAAGTTCAGTGCACAAGAAGGAATTCAGCGTATGTGCATTCAGGATCTGTTGATAGTTTAATCCTCATATAGCAAAACATTCTAAAATTGTGCAATTCTGATTGTTTGCGGTTGAAAATCTAACATAGAAAAACTTAATTTTTCTAGCACGAGTACATCAGGCTGAGCATTCCTTGCTAACGTCTTAAAGTCCGACTGCCTTTGAAATATTTAACTGAGGTTTTCTTTTTCACATATTTATTTATTTTCCATATATGAATGTGCCCTGGCAGCCCAGAAAGCCAACCGTATCCTGGGCTGCATCAAAAGCAGTGTGGCCAGCAGGGTGAGGGAGGTGATCCTGTCCCTCTGCTCTGTGCTGGTGAGGCCTCGCCTGGAGCACTGTGTTCACATGTGGAGTCCTCAGCACAGGAGGGATGTGGACCTGTTGAAGTGTGTCCAGAGGAAGGCCACAAAAATGATCCAAGGGGTGAAAAACTTCTCCTATGAGGACAGTCTGAGAGAGCTGGGGCTGTGCAGCCTGGAGAAGAGAAGGCTGCGAGGTAACCTGAGAGCAGCCTGTCAGTATCTAAAGGGGAGCTACAGGAAAGAAGGGGACAGACTCTTTAGTAGGGACTGTGGAACAAGGGGAAATGGCTTCAAGCTTTATAAGTATAGATTTAGGTAGGATATAAGGAAAAAATCTTTTACATTGAGGGTGGTGAGGCTCTGGAACAGGTTGCCTAGAGCTGTGATTGATGCCTCATCCCTGGAGACTTTCAAGGCCAGGCTGGATCAGGCTCTGGGTAACCTGATCTAGCTGTGCATGTCTCTGTTCTTTGCAGGGGAGTTGGACAAGATGACCTGTCAAGGTCCCTTCCAACTCTAAGGATTCTGTGATTCTATGATATCTAATTCCATATCTGTGGTGGAAATGCGAAGTCACAGCTTGAACGAGTGACTGAGCACTTGGCAGGAAGGCAGGACCAACCCAGGGGAGCTCAGGTGCATGCAATGGCAGGGGGGTTGGAGCTTGATGATCCTTGAGGTCCCTTCCAACCCAAGCCATCCTATGATTCTATGATTCTGAGTGATCAGAAGGGGTGGATCCAGGATCCTCCCCTTCCCAGACCTCATTTAAGGGTTGGCAGTGGAGGCAAGAGCATCTCATCTGGAGAGCCCTGTGTGCCTGAAGGCAGGCAGCTTTTTGCCTTTATTTCTGACCCACTGCTGTTGTGTTTGAGCAAATCCTCACTTGCTACAGCCTGGGATCTTGCTGCTCTGCTGCCATTGATGCACGTTCCATCGTATTACAGTAATCTACCACAATCTTTTAAAAAGCATGCAGAGGAAATGACAGCAGTGACAATCAACAGAAGGTTTAATTTCTGCAACAGGCTCTCTTGTACTTACTGGAGCTAAAGAACTTCCTGGTTTGGTTTTGATTGACATATATCTGTTCTAGACCTGGTAAGCATGCAAATCATCTTTCTAGATCAAATCCTTAGTTCACTTTGTCCATTTTTCAGTCTTGAAAGCATCCAGCATCAAATGGTAAAGAAAAAAAAAGAGATGGATAATAAATGTGGAAGGATCTGCTCCCAGGTAAAGGCCTGATTTTAAACCTCAAGAGTCAGAAAGTGTTATAAATCCTTACAAAGGGGAAACATCTTTTCCAGTACTCAGCAGTTCAACAGCTGATAGCATGTCTGTATGTTTGCTATGGATTAGAGTGAAAAAATAGATAATGCACAAGAGAATACACTGAAAAATCACAAACACCCTGTGGTCAATAGAAAGGAGAACACTGAATTTACTGGCAGCCGAATCATGGGCTGCAGACTGTCATCTTTACAAAAGATGCATGGAAGACTGTTCCCACCATGGTGAATGTGAGTGACCAGAGAATACTATCCGTAGAAACTCATGGGCTCATGTGCATTTGTTTTGGATAGAACTTCAGAGTTGCTGGAATCGCACTGGTGCACCTGTTTAGTTCAGCACTGATCTCTATGGTACACACCTGAGCCAGACTTTGCAGGCAGCTACAATTCTTCAATGACAAAATTGCATTAGACTTAAAAGAAAAGTTCTCTCTCTGTATGTGTGTATGTAAACTCATGTGTATTGACTTACCTGGAGACATTGCTGTTGTCTCGGATTTTGACATGACAGAGAACATTCGGCAACTTCTGCAACACAAGGACTTTGATTTGATCCACAGAACTGCAGAGTTTAAGGTAACCCAGATACAATCCAGGAGGGAGGCGTTGCTGACTTCTTTTGTGATAGGAAAATATGTCCTGTTTTGAGAGAAACAGTCCTACATAAAAAGCCTTTTATTTTTTTTTTCCACATAAGTCACAAATTTGGGATCAAAAAGCAACACATCTTTTTATAGCTGTCTTTCTGTGTCATCAGTATTCCCAATTCCCAGTATTTGAGCACATGCTAAAGCATACAAATAATCTCTGGTATTTTGGATGCCCTTGGACAACTTCCTACTTAAAGTTATATACAGGTTCTCAGAGCTCTCCACATCATGCATGTACTGGCACTAAAAAACTGTGATTTCAACCTTCTACAACTGTTGTATTTAAATTAACTTCAATAGCACCCACCCCTGCACTCGTCTGATGTCTTCAGCAGCAAGCTGGGGCAGAGAACTGTGTCAGATGATAAACAACTCAGCAAAAAAGCAGCTGTTTTTTAGCCAGGCAAATTCCCTGTTTCATTTCTGGTGTTTAGATACACAGATAGAGACGGGTGGCATGAGGAAAAAGCTCAGCTGGGGAAGGGAGGACAGAGAGGCTGCACAAACCAGTACTGACACCAGATAAATGCATGTAGATCTCTTGAAAACCTCCTTCTGTTATCCCTTGCTATCAGCAGGAAGATCTCTCTAAGTTTGGGAGTTGGTGGCTTGCAAAGATTAATTAATGACTGTGTTTTCTGAGCAAATATCTTTATCAACAAATAGAGCTCAGGAAGAATGAGTACTGATGGCATATTTACTGAAGCTAGGAGACGTTTTTAAGGCTACCTATAGCTCCCCAGGAGCTATTCTAAAAAGGATATCTGCTGCCATCCTGAGAAACGTGTGCCTCTGCAGTGGGTGAGGATTAAGACACCTGGCCTTACGCCTTTACTCTTGGAACCATCAAATTATCTTCCAGTGCTTTGCTTGGCTCTGACCAACGCAATTAGACCCTCATTTTCACAAGCACTTCATGAACAAAATACCCATTCGATGATTAAACAAGTAATACAAGAAAGGGTGGGCATTAGATAGGAATGTGTAAACCATTAGGGGAACATTTTTTCCACTAGGATCTCTGTGGAAATTTGATCAGGCCTGTATTTTGGGTTTCCTAATATAAAACTTTTGCCCAGATTGACATTTTTCTACACCTTTAACACATTTTAATACTGTAAATCTAACATAGATCAGGTAGGTTTTATTGTCTTTTGGAAATTTTTTAATGTTCCTAAAAGCTGGTAACGTATATTTTGATTCCCTGTCAGTTTCTGGTACCAAAAGCACAGTCTCTGCCCTAGAAAGTTCCTCAAATGTGAAAATGAACAATGACAATCATTGTCTAGCTGAAGTGACAGAAGAAGGGACTGAGATATTTGTCGTGTAGTATTTCAGGTAACTTTGCCACTCATTTGAAGAGAGAGATTGGCTACAGACACTTTCTCAGCAATAAGCTGTTACCTACAGAAAACATGTATTCATCTTTTAACTACAGAGACTTAACAAGAATTTACTGAGTCTTGAAGGGCTAAAAACCCCTGGCCGTCCATTATGTCAACTGAACTGACAACTCCAGCACCTTCTGGGATCAATCCTTACCTTGGTATTGTTCTAACTATGAAGTCTAGGAGTGTGCTATGAAGAATTAAAGGATTATGGTCAATAAAGAATTCTGTAGCAACTATACCAGGCACCAAGGAACTCTGAGCCCCAAAGAACAACTTTATTAAGTAGAACAGTAGATGATATACTTAAATGCAGTCTTATGTGGAAAAATCTTACGGGGCATAGAAATTTTAAGTGTCTGTATGGGTGCTTAAGAACATCCTAGAGAGTTTTAAATGTTTATAGCCCTTGCTAAGGAATGCTATAGCATGGCTTCCCAAAACTGATAGAAACAGCACCATTCTCTGCTAGGACTTTGAAGTAATTTCTTTCTAATCTCATGGATATTTTACATATTAAGGATCTGATCCCAGCCCCACTGGAAGTAATATAAGTCTTTTCTTTCAGTGGGAGCCTTGCCACTAGTTTTATTGGGCACTGGACTAAGGCCTAAAATTCTACAAGAATCTTCCAAAATCAGGGCTCTGGCACAGGCTTTACAAAAGCAAATAACATACAGTTAAGAGAAGCAAAGCACTACCTGGATTGTTATAAGCAAAATGTCTAATGCTGTTGGCTCCTCTGGCGTTGAAAGGGATTTCCTCTGGCTTTGTAGTTTGGATACCTGCATCCATTTGCCATTAAAAAATGAATAAAGACTCTCCACTTCTCTTACAGTAACAATCAATATATTGCCATGCCGATCCTTGATTGGCTCATAAAAAACTCTGCCTAAGTTGTGAGTTCCCAGCAAATTCTAGAAAAGAAGAAAATTATAAAATGAAAGTTATTTATTGCATATCAGGAAGGTGCATTTTTTGAAAGTTTACTTTATGTTTCTTGATGTCAGACCTATTGACTTCAGTAAAAACCAGTCACACAGCCCTTCTTACATCCTTGCCCTGCAGTCACATCATGCAGTGGCAAAAGGAGAAGTTACTTTAGTATTTGGTCCAGTAGTGTTCAGTTTAGTGTTTACCAGAGAACATCAGGTTGTTACAAACCAATGCCTTTGTAAAAGGACAGGCTGCAAATTCACTTCCACATCCTGATCGTACCCAGTTATGCAAAGGTAAAGGATACTGTTTTCAAAAGCACTCGGTGTTGGTCTAGAGGTGATTCCTTTGGTATCAGTGAAGTCCTTCTGCTTAGAACTTACCCAAGAGCTAGATGCGTACCTAAATGAGAGATGCAGCACGTATCAGTGATACCGAATTCATACTGGAGACTTCAAATGTTTTCTGTTAAGATCATTAACTATAACCTCAATTTATTGTTCTCCATTTCAAAATGATGCTGATTATTTTCAGCAACAAAAGCAAGAGGCCCTCATATCTGCACTAAATGTAAATAGTTCTGGAGTTGAACTGCAGGCTGTGTTTATGAAGGACCACAAAGGAATTTGAAAAGACACGGACCCTTTTTCTTTTACTTCAGATACCAAGAATGTGCTAGACAAACCAGCAGAAACTAACAAACTACCAAAGCAAAGCTCTCCAGGAAAATATGTGAGGATTAAAGAAAAGTAATTTTAAAAGACTCCACATAAAATACATATTTTGGTCAAAATCCCTTTCCTCACACAGAAAGGCATCTGCTTATAGGTGCAAACATACTCAGTCCAGTCACCAGCCACTGAAGAGATTCCCAGATGTCTTAAAGAAAAATGCCTAACATTTAAAATATGCTCATTACTTCAGGACTTTTCAAGAGTTCTACAGTAAGCAGGGTAGGGATGGGGGTTGTTTAAAACGACAATTCAAATTCACAATCTAGCACACTGTATGTTTAAGGAAGTGCTGTAACATAATGGCATTGCAAAGACATAGACTGTCCTGACTTTTTTTTTTTATCTGTATGTAGCACACAATATTTACTTATAAACTTTATTATTGAATTGTTTGTAAACTCGAGATGGTGGCTGACCTTTTGGTGACAAAACTTAGCAGTTTTTGCTTTAAGCATCCCCCTCAGAGCATGCTGTTGGCGTCTGTATACCACATCCTTTTTCTTCACTGTTCTACCTGTTGAGGTTAGCCTCCATCACTGATTAACACTGGCATTTTGTTTGAATTTGTGTGTCCACAGATGGGGCAGATTATTACAAGGAGATGTTTAGCCATCTCGTCGTGATGTTAAACTGAGTGCAATATAAGAATGTGCCTAGATGGAAGCAGATAGATCATTATTGTCACTGATGGCTGTATGTTGTGAATGACATTCCAGCACAGAGAATGGGGGCACCTACTAACAGGAATTATGGCCATTTCATGCACTAAAAAAAGTTTTGCATCTGCTTTGCCTGGCATCCCCTCACTTGTGATTTGTTTGCTTAGTTGTCTAGTGGCAACAGCAGGCAAAATTACAGTCTCCGTTGCCTCTGAATCCACTGATCCAGTCCCTCAGCAGCTGTGTTATCACTGATCTTTTCCATTCTGTCCTAAATTCCTGTGGAGTCAGACTGTTAACTGCCTCACTAAAATGTATTCAACCGTATAAACTTTATTGAGATCCTTCTATTGGTGGATCCCATTAGGCCACACACTGTTAAAGGCTGGCAGACCTGTGACAATTCCTGTGCTCATCAGGGGACCAAACTAACAGAACAAACGATGAGAACAGTAAAGCTGCCAAAAAATTGAACAGAGGAACGTACCTTCTGGGCATATTTGCCATATCTCCATGCTTCAAGTTCTGTTCTTACCATCTCTGGTAGCAATTAACACAATGTAATCTTGGTTATCTCAAACTGCAGCCTGTGCATACTAACAGTGCTCTCTTAGGGAGGGAATGAAACTGAGCTAACCAAAGGAGTATGTGCTACCTAGGCTGAGCTAACCACACCAGAGGGACCTTTCAGCAGATACAGTTAAAACTGTCTCTAGTGAGAACTCAAAGCACTGGCAAGCAGCTGCTGCTTAACACAGGTGGTCTCCAATAAAGGTGCAGCAGGCTGGCATTCCATATATTTCGGGATACTTTGGGGAAATCAATCAAGACAGGTGGTTGCCCAGGAAGGCTATTCTTCTGTACAGCTTGCTTTGCCAAAAGATGTAAAACAAACCCCACACAGATATTCTTAATAATGGCCACAAAGTATCTGGCTCTCACAGCTGCTATAAAAGCTAGCTTATTGCATGGACTGGCAATAAGAAGAGGGATGGCCATATTGCTAATGCATGAGCCAAGCAATGTGAAGATATCCATTAATGCTGTGACTGTACCACAGTTTTTTGGGTATTTTTGGTGACTTCATTCAAACAAAAGGTAGGAGAGTGAGTTCTGCATATACTTCTTCTATAAGGATCGTGCCCACACCTTTGTGAATTTCTTTCTTTTCCACAAAAGTAAATATTTAATGAAAGCAGTTGTCGTCCTGCTAGAAATTTCACATTACTGTGAACACGTTCTTCACAAGTTTTACAGTGTCAAAACATTCTCCTAGAGAAATGCTGTAATAAAGTACAATTACTATTTGAGGTTGGAAGGTCATGGAGCTAATAGCTGGAAACAGGCAGTGCAACCAACCTGTAGCTGTGCTGCTGCAGAAAGCATCTTTTGCCTGGCTTGAAGTGTTGTTGATGAGGAGATGGATACAGACATATTCTGCCTCAGCCATCTGATATCATCCCACATACAAGACAACTGCAAAAATATGTTAGTTCAGTCAGTTTTTGTTCTCAGCTTTTACAAAAGCAGAAATGAAACTAAAAGCATTACAGACTTTGAAAAATAAGTAGATGTTCATCTTGAGTTTCTGTGGGTGGCAACAGTTGCCTAGATAAGCATAAAACAGACATAAAATCACACAGAAATAATTCTGCAAACACCGTGCACCTATTTCAACCATTTTTTAGACTACTGAGTAAAACTGATTTACTGTTTCCTAGGGAATAAAAAATAGTGTGAAGATATCTTTAATGATGGCATAACCATTATACCAACTTAAAAACATCTAATGGCTTTTTTTAGGCTCTTCCTCTAAATGTTCATAAAACCCTTCTGTTCCTAGTCAGCAGTCAACTGATGTAGGATCATACATTTAAAAGAGTTGATTGTGGTCAGCGACTCAATCAGAATTTAACCCATATAAATGCTGTTTGAAAATTACATTTTAATGTGAGTAAAAGATGAAGCACTTCATCACTTAGCATTTTAATGCACTCAGAAGCTAAGATTTCTGCATGGCTAGCAATGCATTTTTAGAAGCAATATATGAAATTAGGTTCCCGTTACCTTTGTGAACCACAGGAAATCCTGCATAATTGAACTACTGTGAGAGTCATCAATTTCCACAATTGGGATCTGATCTTCATTGGTTACTAATAGATTGTCTTTGTAAAAAAATATAACAGATAAGTAGAGTCCCCTAGAGAAAAAAAAAGAATCATTGTCAAACAGCTTTCATGCCTATTAATATCTAAGCCAAATTTTTGCTGCTGAATCATAGATTATCAGTTCTGAGGAGGCAAAACAAATTAACTGATCTTAACTTTCGTGTTATATAGATCATGCAACTTCAGGTAGTGAATTCTGAAAAATATGTGGGAAGGCTCTCTCTTCAGATGATGTGAGACTACAAGAATTTAAGGAATTATGAATCTGTGCAAGCCACTGACATCAACTTTAGTAAGAGTTTTGCCAGAGTAAATAGTATACAATGGAGGGTTTATGCTCTCTAGAAATCAAAAATTCTACCAAAACTTTTTATCATTAATGGGCTTAGTTTTGCCCTCATTTACTTCAGAGCAAATCTGAAATAACTCAATTGAAATCAGTAGGGTTATTATGGATTTACATTAGTGTAATTGAGTGTAGTTTGGCCAGCATATCTGCAAAACTGTTTATAGAGATCATTCCTTTCAATATTTACCCTTGCAATTAGTTGCATACATTAAGTAGTTGCCTTAGGGAATTTAAAGACTCTGGAGAACTCTTCTGAAAGAATCAAACTCTTATCAAAATACAAAGAAGAAAAAGCAAACTGAATGCTCCTGGCAATGGAAGAAGAAATAATCCAGCCTAAGAAACTTTCATTTGCTAAAAATAATAAACTATCAAGGCAAAGGGTTGTTTGGGTTGTGCTGGGCTGCAAACCTAGCTAAAAACATTAGAAAGTTCTTGATGTGCTGCTTCGTGCCAATGAGATATTAGTATCTATAGAACACGTCATCTGAGCTCTGCATTTTTCATTATGAATGAAATAAATTCCAGTTTCCTTATTGAGCAGCAACGGAGGCTTCACTTAGCAATTCCTCAGTGACTGTACCTTTGTGTTTGCACATGGTATTTTTCCATTACAACTCAAATCCATTTTCAGTAGTAACAACCACAGATTACTAATGATTTCAGTAGGAACTGCAGCATTTTTTTTCCTATCAGATGCATCAGTCTCACACATATATAACTTTATCAGGTTTATTCAGACATTGCCATTTCATTGGAAGTACAATTTGCATACATCTATTTTTAAGGTGCTGTTTACTATTACATAAAAGCAATCACTTGGAATGTTTGGGAGATAAAATGAATGACAGACCGTTTCAGAGTCTTCACAAACTTGTTTGATGAATGAAAAAGGTGCTTCAGGCTTCTAGAGACTGACTGCTTGCGACCAGTGTTCTGTAATTTGGAACTTTCTAAAATGGAAATTAGAAACAAAACTAAATGCAGCACTTCAATTTCAGATTATAAATCATGAAGAACCTTTGTTTGCTGAATCACACTGATAATTCAGTGCCCACCTTACTCCTTCCAACAAACAACATTCAGAACCATGCTGATTTACAACATTTGCTTGTATTTTCTTTCCCTTAACAATACTCTTCATCAAATGATTTCTTTAAGTGCATCAAACTCAGATTTGGTGGAACTGTTGTTTTGCACCTAGGACAAGTATAGCTTGAACCACGTGTTGAGGGAGGATATGAATTTTACACGTGGTCTCAAAAACACAAGAGGAGAATCAAAGCACCTGTCAACATTCTAGGATGATGTAATCCTTCAACATATGTCCACGAGTCCTGCTTTGTGCTTACAAGGATTTCTGGGCCAGCTCTCACACCAGAAGAGCTGCCTCGGAATTCAAGTATTTGCCCAAAATTCTTAAAAAAAAAGGGGGGGGTTACATTTTATACAGTGCATTATTCCCCCTCGGTACGTGGTCTGAGATTTCTTTCAAGTAAGAGAAAACCCTTCCAGTAGGAACTGAAGCTCTCAGGCTCTAGGAAGCAACTGTGTCTACTTGTATAATGCAAGCAGTTTTTAGAAGGTAAGCTAATACATAGTGGTCAGCAGGATTGTGTATTGATTTTGGTATTGTCAGAAGTTGCTGTTTACATATGGCTTGTTGAGGGAATGGATGTTTAAAACTTTAGGGAAAAAAATTCTTCAGGTGTTTACTGTGATCTGAAGAGAAAGACAGAAAGAAAAATGTCTCTGTGAAATTACATCTCAGCCTTCCAGGATCTGACTGTTTTCTCGTTATTTAAATGAACTACGGATCCCCATCCAGACTCAATTACCAAACATTTTGAGGAACAATCCTCTCCAGTGGGGAAAAATGTGACTCATGAAATATTTTAAAAAAGAACTATTTGCTGCTAATCTGCCTGGCTAAGTGTTTTCAGAGTAACATATTTTCTACTTACCTCCAGTGCAAAATAGGTGTCTATCTGTGTCTCCCTAGCAAGTTCTAAGTTTGAACATTTAAAGAACATCTAAATTTGCTCTTGTCAAAACCCCATCTGTGAAAGCACTCAACATATTTTTAAATGATGAATAAATTTGCACTGTAATTTGCACATAGAAAACTACAAAGAGAAGACACATTGTTAGCATAATTACCACTTTGCTGAACAGCAAGTACAAAGAGAACAAGGTTCTACTGGGGGTGAAATCATGCAATGTAGAAGTATGAGACTTATTAGATCACCAAATATGCTGTCTTCCCAGTGCTAACTTACTCTGCATGGCATATTCTTCATTGCAGTGTTCAGTTTAGTTTAAATAGACTCATCTTAATCCATGGCTGCTCCTTTGATGCCACTGATCTTTGATTTCTTTTCCATTTGGAAAAACTCATTTGTTTTCCTGCCCACATCTCCTCAGATCACTTTTATTTTACTCTGTGCTTTTTTTTTTTTTTTTTCAGTATATCACAGTAATGTAAACCAAATGTGACATGAAAACTCTTGTCTTAGAAATATAAATTTTATCCTAATTATGAAATTCTTGTTTTCTTCTATACTTGCAATGGAAGAAATGGAAGCAGAAATTGCTAAAAGCGATGTAACATAATTCTGTACAGAACACCCAGAGACTGCAGCACTACAATCAGAGGGCACATTACAAAGGAAACATATATTATTGGGCTATTCAGTGGTTTGGGTTTGCTCCACAGATTTTTCAAAGCCCAAAGAAAAAGACATAATGTAAAACTAGATGGAAACTGTAAATTCTCCAATGTTTCTGTTTGCTTTTGTTTTACGTTACAGTATGTCTAGAAGCCAAAAAACATGGAACTGAGATTAGAGGACACTTTGTACCTACAGGAAATGGAACTTTAACAATCTGTTATTTAATTAACTAATAAATAACAAGAGTAACTTTTTTACAACAATGGCAGTAAGAACAAAATAAGTGGATACTAAGGAACGATACAATAGAGCTATGAGCTCTGTTAATAGCTCAGGAGCAAACATATATTGGCCAAGATCAGAGAATTTCCAGTAGATGGATTTAGCTCAGAAGCATTTACACTTGGACTGAACCAGGCAATTAACTCTATTTACCACATTAGCAGTTTTTCTCTTCTTAGGTGGGATATATATGTGTGTCTTTGCAGTTCACTTAAATACAACAGATACTTGAAAGTAACGTAAGTTGTTGTGAGAAATAAGAAAGTTGCATGCTCCCACTGCTAGCATGCATCTGGGGTTTCTGCTCTAGAGGAATGTCTGTTATGCCATGCCATTTCTCAGAGGAGGAAGATCATCTGGAATTCTTTGTCCTATCACTAGACAAGCGGGTGCCTCTTCTCAAGTGGGGCAGATGTGAAGTAAATGGAATTACCTCAGTGCAAAATTATCTGAGGAGAAATCTTAGCCCCACAGATCAGACAGTCTGTGGAACAACTAAATATCACTAATGGTAACACTGAATAATGAAGCAAATTAGTAGAAGAGGAGCTAAATCCTATTGAAATCCTAGCAGAAGGCATAAAGTGGGGTTTAGAGTTTTTACTAACAATGGATGAAAATACATCAAATAACTGGAAACTTCCAGAAGCAAATCATACTCACTTTCAATTACCATAATTTTAGCAGTGCAAACAACTGACACTGAAATAACATGCACAGAGGCAGAATACCATGCAGAAGTTAAAGGCATACATAGCCAGCAGATACTTCAGTAGCTTAAGGTCTTTGCAGACTGTGTATTACCTCAACTCAGCATGGGATGTCATTCAAAAGAAAAAACTATCTCATGGAGAAGCTACAGTCATGTCAGTCTCGTTTTTTTATTGGGTGGTGTATTTTGGAGTACAAAGTCAGGCTCAGCAGTTGAGATTGTAACTTCTTAAATTTCCTACCCAAACTTCTCAGCCCATGGCCAGGCTCTCCAGCCTGTTTTTGTGTATTCTCACTGAAATAAAATCTAAACTTTTAAAACGCCCCATGGAATAAGAGATCATTCTCCTTGTTAAAAGCAGTGAAAATGTGATCCCAGGTTGTGAATCAAATTATGATTAGAACATTTGTATTTCAGTCAATCTCTAGTAAAATACATTTCAACCAAATTTGAAAGAAAATATCCAGTAAGCATTTTACTGAAGAGTTGGGTTTCTTTCTTAATGAAGCATCACACAATTGCTTAATCCACTCAGAAATGTAAAGGAAGAATAATCTTCAGGAAAAAAAAAATACTTAAAAAATACATTTGAAGTGTTGCCAGAACACACAATTGTAGTAATTAGGTTATGATAGTCTGTAGCACGGTATTATGAAGACAAATGGATGACTGTTGTTTGTAATCATCGAGATTTTCCAGAAGATTAAACATATGAAAGCAAAGCTTCCTAAGTAATTCCCTAAGAGATTTCAACATATCACAGAGCAGGTTCAAAAGCAACAGCTGATCTAATTCCAAAAGCTCTTAAACTCACTGTACGTTCCAATGTATTCTTCCTGGTATTTTTGTAAGCTTGTTTTCTTCAGGCCCAGAAATACAAAGCATGGGGCAAAACGCAGGCTTTGGTGCAAAGCCTGAATGAACAGACATGAGCAAGAGATGTGTGGAATCTGGGCAATTTAACCCTCCAGATCACTAGCACTGGACCTTGTTCTTATATCTCCTTTATATTCCGAAGCTTTTACTCATATCAGCCAGATAAACTCAGCCATTTTAGATCGATTGCCCTTTCCACTTTTTTCATCTCCTTTGCACTCCTCCTCTGCTCTCCTTCAGCCAGCCTGAGCAGCACACCTGGGCAGTCCCGCAGGGGGATCACTTCCAGGAAAGCCAAGGGGACAAGACTTCAGGTTTGAATTTGTCTCTGTCTTCACCTCACTTTAATTCACTGTGAATTAGTGGCTTCAAGTAGATTCAATGGTATTCTTCAAACAGTTTCAAACTATTTACCGACACCTCTAAAACAAATGAGGAAAACAGAAGCTATAATGTGCTCTTAGAATGAAAGGAATCTGGTAAAGAGAAACATGGTAAAGGCTGCTTAAATGTCAGGCCAGGTCCTTGGCTTAGATATAAAAGCACGTCCATTCTGATTTCTGTTCATGACGGTTGAAGGAGGCTTCTGTCTAATGTGCACCAAGTGGAAAAGTTCATTGGGGCTTTTCAGTCATTACCAATAGCTTATCTTAGATCCTTGATCAAACTTCTCAGATGTCACTGAGATTGACAAAGAACAGTTAAAGTGATGTCATAATTCTTAATTTTTCTGCAATTACGTTGTCGTGATTTTTATAATCATATTCCTGAAATACAAGGGATTGACATTAAGTCATATATTTAAGATAAGTTCCAAAGACTCTTCTCTTATGTTATAGATCTGATTTATCCAAAATACAGTTCTGTGTAATGTTAACATTACAAGCAGTTCTAAGATTCTGATTTAATTGGATCAAGGGCGTTGCTCTTGCTGATTCCACAGTGTAGCACTGCCATATGTATGTTCCCACATCCTCTTTCCGACATACAAGAAAATGTTCTGAGCTAAACAGATTTCCTATATTGTTGTTATTTATTATTTGAGCATAAGGAGCTTGGAAATCAGTACCAGAGTTGTCTGTGCTTTGCTTTGAGACTGGAGTTAATTTCTGAAGCGGTGGAATTTTATGAGAACCAGGTACTGGTGTCAAATTCTTAAAAGAAGGGATTTTCTGCATGTTTATAACTGCTTATTCACTGGGCTGGTATGTCAGTAAAACAATTGATTCTAAGAATATTCTCAGATGTTCCATCACTTATTCCCTGTTCAGTAGGAAGGTGGCCTGAAAGATCTGAGAAATGTACCAACTTTGGAAGAGAAAAAACTGTAGCATGGATAATGACTTCTTGAATCATGAAAAGCGACGTAAGAGATGGAATACATCGTCTGTATTTTTACTACCATGGCCACCTGCAAGTGATAATGTTTGCATGAATTTTAATTAGGGAAACAACATTTTCTTGCAATATCTCCTTTTCCTTTCCAAGAAACATAGTGGAATAGTTGTAGTTGCTATGGTTACAATGGCTTGTGGCAAACTGTGGATCCTCATGATTGTGATGTATTTGCACATAAAGAACAAAGGTTGCATCTTTCCATTTTATCCAGATGATTTGAGCCCTAAGTATTTCTGTGATTTTAAATCAGTTGATGCAGTTTGAAATAACAGTCATAGTAAGTGATGAAAAATGAAAACTTCATGGTAGTTCGACTTTTCAGTTTAAAATAAGTTCCTTTGCAATGAAGCATTATTCCAGTTAGAAGTTTATTTTAGGAAAATAAATAGCACTTTTCAACAACCCGTATAGAGCAGGAGTTTTTATATATTCTTTAAAAAGAATGCCAAGCTGTTGCCTTGGCTCTTGAGCTATTAAAGGCACAGTCTGTTTCTCATGAATGAAGAGCAAAGAGCTGGCTGAGATTCGAACTCTCTCCCAGTTTTGATCCATTCTATTTGAAAATGTAGCAATCTTATCTTCCCACTGCATTGTGCAACTATTTTTCATTATAGATTGGCATCACATCCAGTAGAGTACTTAGTGTCTTCCATTTGGAAGCAGCCAAGTCCCTTTTTTGATCCAAAACAGTTGTTAACTCTCTAAAGTATTTCTTTATATTAAAAAAATAAAAGAGAGATCCTTGAAACATTTTAGCAGAATCCTGCGTAAAACTTACTTGTAGGAAAAAACACATCAATAACTGCAGAGGGTACAGAGGGAGAAAGGGTGTGTCTGTGCTTGTGTACATTCTAGCTTTCAGATGTTTCCATCCAACTAATTTCAAGGGTTAAGAGCAAGATAGTAAGCTAAAGTGATTCCAGATGGGCCAATATTAATATCTTTCTTTTCCTGATGAATGAGAAGGTATGACCTAGTTAGAAAACTGCTAAAATTACAGGCGCCACAGAGGCTTCAGCTGGTGCCCTACCACATAGATATTTATCCTTACCTCTGCAATTATAATGCTGATGAGCTGCTCGGACCTGCTGAAGGAGACGTTCCAGGGCCTCACTATGTCCCCTGTGTCGAGGCTCTCTTCCACTGCAGTCTTTCCAGTCTATTGAACAAAGGAAATAAACAGAAATGAAACACAAAGTAGTAGGAGAAGGTTTTAAAATATTTTCTTGCTTCTGATGTTTCTTGGCTGTAGCGGAGGCTTACATCAGGGCACGCAGGAAAAATGTCAGTTGTTTCAAGTCTGCAGTTGTTGCTTGTACAATAAGCTTCCTTTGCTTTGTGCCAGCTGCATAATTAATCATAATGATGATTAACAAAGAGCTCACAATCAGCTCCCAAAAGCTCCTCTAGTGACTGACTAGACAATGGCTTTTTCTCTTTGGTACATAAATAGCTCCTGTTGCTGTAGCATCAGTGCTGCACTCAGCCTGTTCCGTCCTGACCCTCTGCACCTCACTAAAATCACAGCCCTGCTCCTCCCGTATTTTATTAAGGCACCATGAGGCTAAATGACTTTCCTACAGTTATGTAGGAAACTGATCGCAAAGCAGAGAATCGATGTCTTCCAAGAAGCAGGGTTTTGTTAGTAGCCTCAGAAACGCTCTGAGTAAAAACACTTCTGAAAACCTCCCAGCACTGAGGCCTGAAGGAAGGCTGGCAATTCCTGCCCCGGCATCATCAGTCTGCTCAGCACTGCACTCATGAGGCAAGAAGCTGTGATTTCTGTCCCACATCCTCTGAACCTTATTTGCCATTAGCTAAAATCTCAGTCTTGATTTTAAAAAGCAGACAACCCTTTCACAAAAAAAAAAGAGGATGAAACTGTCAGAGAGGAGCTATTTGATTCCAGATTTGGCCCTTTCTCACATCATTATAATAAAAAATTATTACACCACAGTTTCCTGAAAGAAAGTAATGATGGATCAGGTTATTAAGAGATCTGCCTCCAAAGGAGACACGCTTCCATCTTGCAGGCACAGCAGCCACATACATATTCAGAGCCACCAGCAAACAGTGTGCTCACTCACTGAATGTACAGTTCTACTTTCTAGTGCAAGTTCAGTTAAGCATTCCTTCCAAAGGACTCACTATGCCAGGGATATAAATAAATGTTTGCTACCATTTAGTATAGTGTCTAGAGTGGTGGTAAGTCCCATAAAGGGTGAGAAGAGAAGACAATTGCTATCCTGATAGCCTGTGGGTAGTTGTAACAGCTGCAGGCTGGCTATCCTGCATGATGTATGCTTTTGCAGAGATCAAGAGCCAATTGCATTTATAACTCATGTTGGGAGGTCAGTTCTCAGATCTCCTTCAGCAGCCAAAAGGAACCAAATGGAATTCAGCAATACCAAAATGCTCTGGGTCATCAGACCAGGGAGGTTTAGAACAACCTCGTGGTTTCTCTGTCTAGGTGGTTCCCAAACTTTTAGACTCTCCAGTCTGCTGACTGCCTTCAAAATGACATGGAAATCAGATCAGCTTCCCACACTGTCCATGAATCACATGTCTGTCAATAAGCCTAGAAATGTTACTATCCACTGTGGCTTTACAGAGCAGCTGCAGAACGCCAGCCACAGCTTTCCAGGTAGTTACTGTTTGTGAGAGGGAAACAGGACAGTGGCAAGCACTCACTCATCCTGCAAGCATGATTCTCTGAGGACATCACTGACTTTTGATGCTCTGGGATTGGACTGGATCCAGATTAGCCCTGGAGCTTTCATTTACCTAGCATATTCTAGCTGCCATCACAAACAACTTTGTACTTAATGTATTCACATTGAATTTTTACCTTAGGGCCATGTTCCTTAATATAACACTGCTGTAATTTCACATTGCTGCTGTCTTGCCAAGCACAAGTCTGCTAGCTTTCAAAACTAATGGTGAAGGTATCTGCATGGACAAGGTTCTGCCCTTGGTACCTGAACCAGTATCTTGTCTCTCAAGCTAAAATTCTGACTTAATATTGCTTAGCAAAAAGATTTCGTACTCAGACTGTGAGCACCTCACTTGTTGGAAAGCTTGAGCATGTGTCACTAAGGGTACTCGATGGAAATGTCATACTCTTGCTGGCTATCTATATGCAGTGAGCTGAGCCTGTCTAATGCTTCCATGTTCACCAGCAAGGAAAACATACATACATAGCCACAGCCACTGAAATCTGAAGCAAAACTTTCCTCACAGCCCAAAGCTTTGGAGCTGCCAGAAGGTCAATAACAATGGACAAGAAATAGACAGGGAAGACAATGCAATGCATTCAAAACAAATGTTTGTATCACACACAGCTACAGCTTGAGATACAACCAGTGTTGCCAGAAGTGCCCTATTCTTAGGGGATATTGAGCTGAATAACTGCCAGCTACTGCAGAATAGTCTTGCTTCTCAACTTACATAAATTCTGGTTTTGTGGGGCCAAATCCTGTGTACTTACCCCTGAGTACAGTCAAGGTAATTGCATGTCACTAAATTATTCAATGCAACTCCATAGTAGTGAGTTATCCACAGAGCCAAGAGTAGAACTTTCTGCCATTATTGTAGCACATTTTTGTTTGCAAACAGAATATTTCTTTAGCCTAGACTAGACCCTGGCTTTATTCTATAGTAAACAAGAGCAAAACTGTAGCAAAATAGGATAGTGATACTGCAACAGCTTTGATTATTCCACACTCTCTATTACCACCATTGCTTAACTTTCTCACGTTAGCATTCAAGGTTATTAAATTGTTACATTAGTCTAATAAAAACAAGTGCTAATGCAATAAAATGAAAAGTCCCACTTTACTGCACTAATCAATACAAGAGAAGCTGTAATATACTGAGCCAGTTCAGCAACAAATACTAAGTCTGGAAAAGTGACTAACAATAGAATGTGGCTATAGTAGATTAATAACCACAAGTGCAAATTTGCACTGAGCCTGAGAAAACCTGATGTAAGTCTGAAACAGAAGAAAGGCTTTTGGATATGTCTGCAACATTTCAGTGCTTGTGGGCTAGATCCAACCAACATCTGTGACATACTACAGTATTCTACATACTGCACGTATCCCATAACTCCACCAACTTCAGAACTGAAAACTTTGAGAATGGTTCAGTGAATGTAATCTAGAATAATACAGTCAGAATAGAAAATTACATATGATATGTGTAAGTATTTTGGTTCTGCCAGATCAGTTTTTATCCATTCATGTGCTGAAAAATGAAGCTCCATATAGCAGAACTCTATTAAAAAAAATGAAGATCAAAAGATGAGAAAGATAAATACTCAAATATGATATTATATGTCTTTTTTTGTTGGGGAGAAGGAGTTGAGTTTTATTTATTTCCCTTCTAAATGACACAGTAATTAAATCATGAACTCCAGCAAACTTGTCTTCTTCTCTTCTTTGAAAAGAGAGAAATTCTGAAAAAGCAACATGAATAATCAAACTGGGAGTGCAAACAAGCTCGACCTACTTGAAGGAGAAGCATATGCAGGAGTAGATCTTCGTGGAGGTCCCCATCCTCTCATATTGTATGCTGAAACATGAATGTAATACCTCTGGCCCTACAAAAGGAAACAACTGGAATCAAAACTTCACTTGAAATCATGGCTGTAATAACTGGAGAGTAGCCCTTTCAAAACTACTTTCTTTGAAAATCTCTTGCGTAGCTTTCAGGGATGTCAAATGATGCACCATGAACTACTGAAAAATTGCACAATGATTACAGGACAGGTGTTTTGGAGAGGGTCAACAGAACACCTCAGTTATGATTGACAAATTGTGATCTCTCCTACTAAACAATGCTCTTAGAATCAGACTTTAAGAATAAAGTCCCATTTCTGCTGTAGTATTAGTCTTGCTATGAGCACAGTAACTGAAGAAGCTCTGCTTGGCCATCACCAACATCAATCAGACCTTTAGCAAGCATTTTGATGCATAAATCTAGGCCAATGAAAAGTGCTTCTGAAAGTTTAGCTTTTTGTTTACAGATGTTATATACTTTAGAGATTATGGACAAACACACCCTAATCACTGCTCTTAATGTGTGCCTAAGAAATGGATTGTGCAAGCTTGCTCAATTTTAACTTAAGATCAGTTACTTTGTTTTGTTGCTGGAAAATGAAGAACAGAGGAAATGCATACCATGGCTCTTCGTGAATCCAAATTTGTTTGCACAAACAGTGCAGAACTGCCAGTAGGAAGAAGGTGTTCAGACACATGGTCAAAACTATTCTGCTTAAGAATACATGTGAATATTTACCAATTTTCTCAATTGCTGACCCAGTTCTTAGCAATGTAAAACATGTATATGAAAATAAAACAAAAATGAAAATGATTGCCATTAACTACGTGTTCCTGAAATAAGTAGAAGAGAAAGAGCAGTTATTTTAGTTATCTGTCATCAGAGTCAGGACTAGAACTTTCACGAGCCTTTGATCTGCACTAAGATTACCCTGTGATCCAGAAAACAGCGGCTTTCATTCCAGTCTTTTTGGCTCCATCCTAAGCATGCCAACATATAAAACAGTTCATGCTGTCTGTCTGTTCCTTTGTGAATTTCTGATCATGGATACCAGACATATTATGCTTAATGACTGGAACTTGTTAGAAGAAAGGCACTCTGCAGTTGTTACCAACAGCCAAGGATGCAAATTATCAGTGTCTTTTTATCACTGGGGCAGCAGGGGGCATCAAGATCTAAACGAATCATTTGGCACTTACTGTTCTGAGACCTGTGATGGTGCATCTCAAAGACTGAAGATTATCCACAATTATTTCTCCAACCAAAGGAGAAAAGTCTTCTGAACAACTCCATTCCACTAGGAAACAAACAGCAGAAGCAAACTGAATCAGATAACAGTCCCACAAAAGGAATAAAAGTACTTCACAGGTTAACTTTTCTCCTAGCAGTTTACCATTCCACGTGGATACTAAAAGTCATGTTTAGCAATAATGTTTAGGAAAACTTTACACAGTAATTAAATTATAACTCTGTGTATGAGAGAGAAAAGCAAAATATTGCTCAAAAGCTTTTCAGGAAAGAATGCTTAAAAGTACCCTGCAATACAAATTACATTCAATCAACATTTGCTCTCAGTTAAACAATTTCCTTTTAAAGAAAGGGAAGCAGTGGAAAAGAGTAGGTAAAAGATTTGGACCTGCTAATTCCATTAGGCAGTTTATATATCCAAACCAACAAAAGCACTGTTTTGCAATTGTGTCTGCATATGTAGGCATAGGAAGGGAGTCTTTTGGGCTCCACAGGACCACAAAACTCCAATCACATAGTCCTGGCAGCTCTGTACAGAAATATCCTCCTTGGACCAGATCCAGACTCACAAGAGGCTCTTTATTGATTTCAGTGGGCTCTGGCTCCCTTGTCCGAGCCTGGTTCTGCTGTGGTCATTGAAATTACAGAGCTCCACAAGGACCTATTAAATTTTATCCATTTTTGAAGTGAATTAAGTGGTGCTGGGCTGGCACATCCCTCCCAACCTGTCCTACAGCCTGAATCACAAAGTGTGCCTTCACCAAAGCATTCCCATCAGTTTGGACCAACTGCTCGTATTCCTACTTAAGGGGTATGAACTCAACATCTTGTTGTGTTCTTCCTTATTCCTTGCAAAAATCAATGCAAGAAATGAAAATGGACGCTGACCATGAAAAACTACCACATGGTTTTAGAAAAAGGATACGTGCAAAAGGGGAACTGATGGCTGAAGATAAGAAAACCACCCTTTGAATTACATGTTAGTAATGCCAAGTACCGTGGTTAGAGTTAAGGTTCATCCCAGAGTCGCACCTCTGGGATTTCGTATCTCCAGACTCAAACTTTCAGGAAAACTTACCAAAAACAGTGAAATTTATTACACATAATAACAGGGGAAAATCCCACCAATTTTCTGGATTTACAACTAAGCAGAAAATCTACCAATTCAAAACAGGTAGATTCAAAAACGATCTCATAGATGCTTCATTTGCATATTTATCAGAGTTGGATTCAACAATTTAAAGATGATCAGAAAGTGTAGGTACTTTGATTTCAGCATGTGGATGCTTTATCTTCTCACCGTGTCATATTGGCATTTTCACATTAAAAGAACAGATAGTTTTGCTCAGCACATACAACAATTAATTGACAAGTTCTTCCTAGATTAGCCAAGTATCAATAGCACAACAAATTTTTCCTTTCTCTTCCAAGCCAGTCCTTTCCTTCGACTGCCATTTGTGAATGCACAGCATGTTCAGCAACGTTTTTGCATTTGCTGAAATGAAAAGGATATTGATTTTGTCTACTGTACCTGCACTTTATAGTGTATATTTTTCTTACTCTCCTTGGGTTTTAAATATCTAATTACTGCCAACCTTAATGGGAGCTATCTCTGTACATTAGTATGAAAATGTAGAGACTGTTACTGTACCATGATGTAGGTTTTTGTTGACAATTTAATTATAGCAGTGCTTATAAGTGCCATTAAACTTGATGGCCTGTCAGAGTTTCCATTATAAACCATGATTTTTCAGGGTTTATAACTCTGCTCTATTAAATCATTGAGGACATTGTGTACATGCTGCAGACTAAGGCATTCTCTATTTTCCAGAAGGATAAATGAGAGAAACCCCTCCTGAATTGCTGAACATGTTACTAACAGACGTGCAGTCACTTCAGATGCCATTCTTGTCTTTGAAGGGTCGTGTAAATCAAACAGTGTCACTCAAGACAGATTCTGCCAGCAAATCCTGTCTTCACTGAAATCCTAGGCATGACAGTGTGTTTCTCAGCATGAGGGGCAGGGCTAAGGTTGTGCTTTAGCACAAAACAAAAGCCAAGGGTGAAATAAGCAGCTTTAAATTCCCTTGGAGTTTCTAAGTTTTTAGCTGTTCTATGGACTGAAGAGTATTCAGACATAACCTAGTTCTCTGGACACATTTGAAGCATTGTTATTTTTGACAGCACATCATTCTCTGACTCATGATACCACCATATTGGCTACTGTTTCTTGCATTTTCTGGTTATGCAGAATAATGCAGAGCTATTCACCCTTGCAACGGACCAGGATCCAAAAACTATGCAACTTTGAGCATGAGCAACCCAGCATGGAAACACTGCTAAAGCCTTGCCTACTTTCCAAGAGAGAAAGTGCTGGAAGAGGCTGTTCTGGAAGTAAACAAGTAGCAACAACTATCTGCGTAACTGAAGTACTTGGTACTTTAAGGAGGAACAAAAGGCTGGCTACCCTCAGCACTTTGAAAGTTCAATATAAAAATACGCAAGTATAAAAACCTGAAGATGAAGAGGGTCCTTTATAAGAGCCCAGGAACAAGAGCTGGTCTTGTAGACTGTACCAACTGTGCTGTAAAGGACCTGAAAGCTGTTGGGTGAATTAAGGATGGAGCATGTTCCAGTCCTGTTCTGAACACCCCACAGGCCTGCTTTGTCGTGAACGCTGAATGTCTTCGCTGTTGCGGCTTTCCATCTGACACTTCACGTTATGTCAGAGCAGGGTTTTTTGTGTGTTTAATATATTGGTGACTATGTGTTTTAATGAAGGTGCCCTGTATTCCAGAGCTAGCGAATGCACGATGTGTTGCTGCGGTCGCCAAGATAAGTAGTAATTTTTAAATAAACAGCAGTATAAACAGTTACATAAAACTCATGTAAATTGCTGGCACATAATTTTAGACTGGCTTAAGTTATGTAACCTACTTGTGGCCAAGTTGTGTGTGCGCTTTTTTTTTTTTCCTTTTTAATACTCAATTCATACACTTTAAAATAAAGAAGCAAGTTTGTTTTCACCTGTTGCTTTTCTATTCAGTATATTCCTGTTCTACTGGGTGTACCTTAAACAGCTCACCAAAGACTGACAGACAGATAAGGGAAAAAGTGAAGGTGCAAAACACCTCCCAGCTCTTTTGCGGAGTCATTCAGGAAAACACCTTCTCCCTGCTAAAGTAAATAGCTCAAGCCACTGTAGAATTTGTCACTTCTCTTGGCATTTATTTTGCTTGCACTTAAATTATTCACTGAATTGCTGAGTAGATTAATTAGACCCAGGGACATGACTTAGGCTGTTAAGTTGATAGCATCTACTGAATGTACTGAGCTGCAATTCTGGGTTTTACTCTTGCATTTACTACTAACTTGCTGTGACTTTGGGGAAAGCATTGTGTCACTAGGACTTTTAACCCAGACTCTTAACGCAGCAAGGATTCTTTTTCCTTCCCTTCATCCCCACGTCCAGGGCCCAGGCTGAAGGACACTGTGATCTTAGCTTGTGTTCCCAAGGGCCTCCAAACAAATAATTGCATTGTTCAACAGCTTCCTTTGAAATGTAAAACTGAAGCAGAGTCCTAATGCCAGAAATCCCTTCACGCCATCTTTTGCTGCCTGCTATCTTTATGAAATAATTGTAACAATTTACACTTACAATGTCTTAGCAAGTTGAGCCAACAAGGCACCAGCTTATTGGTGCACACAGTGTTACCAGCTCAAATAGACAACGATATTCTTGATTTTTTTTCACATTTTGTCTGTTTAGTCAGTTCCTCCTAGCTGCATTGAGCTAGCCTTTCCAGGTTTAATTGCAAAAAGAAACCAATTTTTGCAGACTTGGGTTCAGGCTTTTGTTATGTCTCTCATGTTTTGAAATTCTGCAAAGAATGAGAGCAAAAAGACGAGTTATACCAACTGTATATGGTGCTCACAGAGATCTCATAGCACTTCCATTAGGAAAAAAAAAAGTTTGGCACTGAGGAGTCACTTTGTGTTCCCATGGATCTGGTTTTCTGCATGAAGGGTGTAAGCCATTCATTTGTGCACATTCAATTACACCGTCTGAAATAAGGAGAATTCTGTTTGGTTAGAATGTAGGCAGGACAGTGTTGGTTAGAAAGCTACAATGCAAACTGGCACTGTGGTAACAACCAAGATTTGTGCCTGAGCCTTCCTATGACAACACAGCCCACTGTGGCTGTGGAAAGTGAGAGAAAACACACACTAGAGCTGTGAAAAGGGACTGGAGAATAAATGGGGTTCTTATGCAAAGGCTTCATGTCCTAGGAAGGTATAGCAGGCTTGGCTCTGATCTTATGAATTTCCACTCCCAGTGGATTCGTTCCACTCATGTAATCTGTGTAACCAAAGCCAGTGGGGAGGTTTATGAAAGTAAGGACAACTCATTTGTGTGAAGCATGCATGGCTTAGGCTCAGCTTCTTCCCAAACCATAATACATTAAAATCTAATTAATAATGACTGGTTGGGCAAATGCAAACAAAAAAGTAATCTATCAAAATGTACAAGACATACTAGAACACTGCATAGCACTGTTAACAAAGAAGGTAAATACACAACCCCTAATTCAATTAATCTGCTTAATGGGATTGCACTGCTTTTCTTCTGGTCCTCCTGTAACATATTTTTAAAGGGGGACATTGTTGGATAGATGTTAATTACTCATATTTATGGCTTTTGTTTCTTTATAAACAATCTGTACACTAATTTAAAGATCATTCACCTCTCCCTAGCACTAAAGCCAGGTGTCACTGGCAAAACAGTCTTGTTTTTACTTAATTTAATTTATTGCCAATTAATGTAATCACCAATTCAGATTGAGAAGAGAGAAAACATAAACAATTAAACACTTAACACATACCCTTCTCCTTTCCTAGTCTCAACTTCCCTTGTTTCTAGCAGGGGTTACTCTCAGCATTGAGGTTCTCTGTTGGTTTTGGACCTGGATGGGCCAGCTGTGACCAGAACCTCCCAGCCCCAGGCCTCCTCCCAGCTGTGGGCCCTGGCTGAGTAACCTGCCAATATAT